GGACGACTACTTTGAGGGAAGTCGTAAAAGGGATAATATGATTTTCAAAACTGAACTCACGCGACCTGCATCAATTGGCATTAATTTTTAACGATATTTAACTTATTCTGATTGTAACGGTAGCTGTAAACATAGAATCAACATAAAAGCTTTTTCCTGCTTTGACATTTCAGATTTTATCAAGTCATCATATTGTACTGTATTTTAAAAAAAAATATTCGGTTCGTTACCTAATGAATACGTATTGCATGGCGGTGCACCGAATACACTCAGTCTTGCGTGTATCGTAAAATATTCTGCTAAATAACAAGATCTGAGAGTTGGATTATAATTAAAATGACATTATCCTCATTTTTACACTGTCAATTTGTGATAAATTAATTGCATATTTCAAAAGATTAACTAGTCAATTTTAATGGCAATTGAACAAGAATTGAAAATGACAAACTGATTAGGATAAAATATATAAAAACTTCCTATATGATAAAAGACTGTCCAACTCTTTTTATTTATTGGACATTATCGATAACATCCGAAGGATATTACAAAACATAAATGAAAATTCATCATTTTCTCTTAGATTGGCATAATGTCATTATTTAAACACCATAAAGTGTGTGTATTTTACATACAGTCGAACGTACAGCGGTGAGATTCTTTTTTAAGTGAGGTGAAATGGTGCTATATGGAATAATAGCGGATTAAAGATTGTAAACACACGCCAGAGTGAGGATTAAAAAAAAAGTAACAGTCATTGACTATTAAAATTGCAAAATTTGTGTTGATGATGTGGGGCTCAGACCTACGTGAATTTCCTCGAAATCATAGAAGTTTAGATACAATAGTCAACAAAGTTCGAGGACTGCTGGAACAATAAGACTTGATACGTCGATCAGATGTCATAATGTTATAAATCGCATGTACACTGTTTGTAAATAATAATTAAAATAGTGAATCTAAAGTGCAATTTAATTAGAAGCAATGCTATTTGATGAAGCATCATTTCATCTGATCATATTTTAGATATTTTACATGACAATTTAAGTTTTGTTATTGTTGTCGTTGGTAATATTGTAAAAGTAAACTATTATACATGTAGTTTTATACGTGTATAATGTTAATAATATTCTGTTTTATTCGAGTTATTATTTCATATACTATTATATTTCCTTAATTCTAGCATGTTCATTCTTTTCTATATTCTATTATTTTATAGGTATATATTATTATAATATAAGTACTGCATAACTGCATATTATTTTATTCTAGTAGTATTTTTTTTACCTCTATTCTATTCAATTCTATTCTGTTCTGTTCTGTTCTGTTCTGTACTGTACTGTTCTGTTCTATTCTATTCCATTCCATTCCATTATCCCATCCTATCCAATTCTATCCACATTCTATTCTATTCTTTCTATTCTATTATTTCTATTCTATTCTATTCTATTCTATTCTATTCTATTCTTTCTATTCTATTCTATTCTATTCTATTCTATTCTATCCAGTGGTTTTCCCTGACATAAGTTTGTCTTCAGTGATGATATCAGATACTGATAATGTATCGGAAATATATATTATATAAGTAATTCTTATTATGTCAGACTGTCTTTGAAGATAAAGATGTCACGTGATCAGCACGTACAATCTAGCAATTCCATACTAGAAATGGATCTTTAATTTTGATTTAGTGATACGTACGTACTGTGTTACATGCCTTTTTAAAATATCTGGCATTTTACAGTCAATTAGTAATCTTATGAAAAGTATCTTAGAGTGATGTCGGACAAGAATTATTTATAATGCTACAAGCGAAACACATTTGATTAGGTATAAAATGTGCCGAGACATATTCTAGAAATATTCTAGAGAATATGTGTGTCGTAATTTCTAAATCTCGGGGTGAAAAAAACTAGAACATAAAATATATAGCAGATTTTAATAGATATGTTGGGATTTTAACTAATCAATTTAAAACAGGTAAGTACAAAAAAAAACGTGAATGCAGTTATTTTACGAGGAAATATCTGACGAGTTTAATCTTATTCATTGATTTTGCCTTTATCAATTAAACGACTCGTGCTGATGGTGTTTTAAGCAAGCTGCATATTGTTCGTTCTGGGAGTATTCAGTCCAAAACAATACGCCGAATGCCTTTAGTTGTTTACAAATTGCTTATGTGTCGAAGTTGATAGTTGCTTGTGGATAACTGGTAGGTATAATTATTATTATTATTATTATTATTATTATTATTATTATTATTATTATTATTATTATTATTTGGCTATTTTGCGCAATTTAACAAAGAAGGCAAAATTTTCATTTTTTAACAAATTTGAATATCAAGTTTAAAAAAACAACTTGTATGTGAAAAAATGATGAAATTCTCCTTCTTCATTTAGCCTATCAATTTCGCAAACTTAAAGAAAATGTGTTTTAGCAGAGACACTTTATGTCCAAATACATAATCTTTCACTAAATAAATGATTATTTTTGAATCTGAATCTCCACAACACAACAGGTTTTTAATGAATATGATATTTTGATGTATTAGACAAGGTGTTGTATCACATATTACAAAACGTTTATTTCAATTTAAATTGTTTATCTGAAAGTTAAACCTTTGTAATATGACACAAAGCAAACATTTGATATTCTAATATTACAACTGTGTCAGGTCAGGAAGGCACTGGGACAAACAAGAACATTGTAACAACCTATATAACATTTTTTTTACATTATTTTTAATTATCAAGTTTTCTTTTGTGTAGAATTTTAAAGTCAAATAAGCTTCCTAGCTTTTTTTGGTTGCGAAATACCGTGCATTATTTCAGGCCCAAACGTGTACCTGAAAAGAGCAACGAACTTCCGTAATATAGCTGGATAGGCTCCTCACATGTAAGAATACAAAGTCTCTGTCGGGATTCGAACTTATAATGAGGGATAAGTGATTCACAGTTACAGACATTATCCTCTCGACCAGGGAGGTCCGATAACACACCGCTATGCTATTTCGGATGCTTACTTAACAATACTTGTCTCTCACTACTGTGAGTTCGAATCCCGCCATGGATTTTTTTTCATGTTACGAAGCTATCCAACTAGGATACGGAAGATAGAAGTTTCTCCTCAAGTGCCGGTTCGAATCTCGCCATGGAAATTCTTTCACTTTATGAACCTATCTAGCTAGGATACGGAAGGTTGAAGGTTCTCATGGAGTGCCGGTTCGTACCTGAAATAAGTTATGTCTCCAGTAGTACGGAGTAATATCACGTATGACCATTGCGGTGTCGGCTTGGCTATTAACCCAAGAAAAAATTGTATTGTAGTCAATATAACATTAAAATGATACAATTCTTTATTATTTAAATGATTATAGCTTAACGAACGGGTTATAGGTCTTCTTTCCTGCTTTATAATACGTTCAACAACCCAGCTCAAGCCCTTAAGTCTGAAGGACGATATATGTGACGTGCAAGCCTATAAACTAAAAATTAACTTTAAAAACGCCATATACTTTTTGTTCTTATCATCTTTGTTACTGAAGCGATTGACTTTAGATTTCAAATCGTTCTCTTTTCCATTAGGGTATAGAAATGTGGGTTAAACTTTTATTGACATCTTAACATGCATGCTTTGTGGTGTAGAAATGATAAATATTTGAGTGTTTTTTCTTGATACTAATACAGAAATATCTTTATATCATAATTGATTTTTTTCTCATAGTTTTGTCTTACTTTACTGCGTCCATTATTTAATTAGTCGAGCGGGCTGTCTCCTGTGAAAGCTCTTGTTTAATTTGTTTCTTAACGTATATTGTTGAAAAATTTCATTCTTAAATCTTGGCTGTTGAAAATAATAATTTTAAATCCTTCCTTTTTCATTTAAAAGAGAGACTGATTAAAAAAGAGGTAGATCGCCTACATGTATCATTCGTTCAACCGTATGCTTTGTGCGTATTTATAAAAAACGCTTGGGAGATCATGCTGCGAAAGTATTATATCATACAAAGAAAATAAGTAAGTATTCGATCAAATCTGAGTTTGAAATCTCAGTAACTAATCACAGGCGGTGGTAGATCTAACCATTAAAGTATTAAACGCGACAGATAATATACAAATAGATTTTTAGTATTTTTTGTTTACTTTTATTTACATATACATAACGTGCTTTAAAAGGAAATATGTGGCGTGAAAGTGTTTCATTTACTTATGGTTATGAAATAGATGACTGTATGTGACAGATCTTATGTAACTAAATAATTATGTTCATGTAACAGTTCGTTTCATTTGCAGGAATGTTATAAAAAACCGATTATGTTATGTTTATATTATGTTTGTTTTATAAAAGAATCTGTCAACGTAATCTACTTTCCGTGCGTTCGTGTGTGCGTGTATGTGTGCGTCTGTGCGTGCGTGTGTGCGTGTATGCGTGTGTGTGTGTGTGTGTTCTCTATAACCTTATATATCTTCAGATAATAAATTAGTTAATAATCTATTTTTAAAAAGACATTTGACCGAGTCAAGTAGGTTTTTCATGTTATTATTCTGTATTATGTAGTTTATTTAGTGTAGTTTGATTGAAATAAAGAGTTTAATTCAAATTAAGACTTTAAAGATCACCTATAAATAACAATGAATTCTCTCGCGTTTGAAAACAGCTTTATGTCGTATTAATCCACGATATTGACAAATTAAGCTTCTTAAATACAGTGAAAAATATTTCATGATATTGTAAAAACGGTTTTCTGTAACGATATACTTATTTAGATGATGTGTTTGAAAAATAGCATAACAAAAGGAGTGACCATTTAAATCGTTTATCTAATAGCATGTGGTTAGTTTACAGGTCCAACAAAAATATGGTTTAACCGAAGTGAAAGTATTACAATTGTAACGAATAGTTGAACAAGAGTTAGTAACTATCAGTTTTAATCGTTTTTATTATTATTGTTATTTTGGAGTAAGTAAATTACTGCAATAAACACCTTTTTTTAAATATAGAAGCATCACAGCGTTTGTGTGTTGATTGTGAATACAACTTTCAATAATATCGGAAACATTCACCATCACATCTGAGAGAAAATATAGATATTGAAATATATCTATATATATTCTGTTCTGCGAAGTTGCCAGTATACTTTATATAGTGTGAACGGGTATCACTATAACTTATATATCAGTACAAGGGAATTAATATTATTGTGCTCCGGATCAAGTCTTTACTCTCCAAAGTCATTGTAAAAGGTAATTATTATGCATTATTTATTCTTTATTTATTCCTTAGTTTCGAATTCTGATTTCTCTTTAAACTGATGTTTAAAGGTAATAATTATGTTATATTTATTCTTTATTCTTTTTTATGTCCTTAGTTTCGAATTCTGATTACTCTTAAATCATGTTAAAAGGTAATAATAATGTAATATTTATTCTTTATTCTTATTTATGTCCTTAATTTCGAATTCTGATTACTCTTAAAATCATGTTAAAAGGTAATTATTATTACTATTCCTACTCCATATACTTATGACCTTAGTTTCGAATTTCGATTTTAGATTTGTAACATGTACAGAAAACAAATTAAAAGGAAATGTTACGTCTAATTGTTATAATTTCTTAACATTTAGACATTTCGTTTCAACGAATACGTTGATAACAAATACGTTAAAGCCTTTAATTAAAAAAAACAACAAAAAAACCCCAATAACTTTGTATATACTATTTGTATTTACAAAGTATATAGGAACCAACTTTTCAAAGTTGTTAATTGTGTGAGGTTCTTTCTTTCTTTTTTTTAGGTTAGTTTTAGCTAACTTTTTTTTGTTTAGATTTAACTCTTGTCTTTTGAAAAAAAAACGTATTTTAAGTCCAGCTTTGTCTATAATTATGAACCTCACTCGCGTGTGAAAATTACTTTGAATTATTTATTTTAGTGTGTGACTTGGTCGTTAAGTGACATAACAATCTTAGAACACCACGTCACCATTTCTCATTGATTTTGTTGCAGCATCGATGCTTACATAACTTCAATTTTTTTCATACATACTTTTAACATTTTTATTATTCTTTGAAATGATGACAAATACCTTAAGTTTTTTTTACCTAAACCTACATATTGAAGAACAGATATATGTTTGCCACTGTATTACACTGTTGGAGATGCTAAGGACGTTCTAAAAAGTATTCTTAAATATGTCGAAAATATTACATCTGTTTCATTTGCTCTTTACAATTTTGTGTAATGGTATTATTCATTTAACAAATCTTATCTGAAAAAATGCATGCTTATTCTTTGCTAAAGTAAGAATACATTTTGCCATCTTTTTTCTTAAATTTTGGACATGAAAGTTGTTAATTATACGGAAAGACTTAAGTCTAAAATTAACATTTGTGATAACTTTGCCTGGTTAATACTTTTGAATAACAAACAAAAACAAAATAAAAATAATATAAAACTAGCTATTAACAGTCTTTTTACATTTGAGCCGCGTCACGACAAAACCAACATAATGGGTTTGCGACCAGCATGGATCCAGACCAGCCTGCGCATCCGCGATCTATGCTGTTCGCTATCAGTTTCTCTACTTCATGTACTTGTAATAGGGTTGGTAAGCGAACAGCATGGATCCTGATCAGACTGCGCGGATGCGCAGGCTGGTCTGGATCCATGCTGGTCGCAAACCCATTATGTTGGTTTTGTCGTGACTCGGCTCATTTAATTCTGTAAAAGTGAGCGGTTTTTAAGGTTTTAACTTCCATAAAAAGATTAGGTAAAATACCATTTCTGTGGTAGTGTAATAAAGAAACACTATTATTATTATTTTTTATTTTATTTATTTTTTTATTGTATTTTTTTATTAGTGTAATAAAGAGAAATGGTGATTTTTGTGTAAGTGGGCCATCTAGTTATTGCAAGTTTTTGTCACGTGATTTAGCACTCAAAATTATTATGGATATTCATGATGGTAAATTTCGGTAGCTTTAATAGTAATAGTATTACTAATTATTAGGAGTAACATACGCTCCTGATTATTTCATATAAGTACACCAGTTCTTTTTTAATACATGGGTTAACATGCTATGGAATGATGCATTTTATGAAGCAGCTGATTGAGTGTCCGTGTCTGTCTGACAATACAATCATGCACACAACACACTTTCTTCTATCTTATTTCTAATCTTATTTAGCAACATCTGCAACTAAAGGCAGTGTCTATGTTTATGTAATGTCTTTGTCTTTCCTTGTGTTTCTGCATTATGTTGCGAATTCGGAATATAATTAAAACATATGTTACTATTTTAAAAATCAAAAACGATTCTAGATATCAAAATGCTGTACGATTATTTTACTCGCAATGCTGTTTAAAAACAGTCGTAACAAATATGGGTTGGAAATATTTTGCAGATTTTTTTTTCAAGTTCTGTATATCTTGATTTAAAAGGGTCATTCTTTTACTAATCATAATTGGTCATCGTTTTTTTAATAACATATTTGAAATGTGACGGAATTGTCATCAAGGGTCTTGGAATTCTTCAATACTAGTAGGTGAAATTGCCTGGGATACTGTTCAGTTCTGGGACGCTTGTACTGTAGTTATATTATCACGTGATATATCGTCATGTTCTTTTATTTATGAGAAGGAACTCTCACCCCTGTTCATTATGAATGCTTTTGGTGATATTTGGTCCCACTCTTCGTTTTTGTGCTTTGTTATAAGGAATACCATCTTGCGTTTTCTAAATTCTTTGTTTTATATTATATGAGCCGCGTCACGACAAAAACAACATGACCAGCGTGGATCAAGACCAGCTTGCGCATCCGCGCAGTCTGATCAGAATCCATGCTGTTCGCTTTCAGTTTCTCTACTTGTTATAGGGTTTGTAAGAGAACAGCATGGATCCTGATCAGACTGCGCGGATGCGCAGGCTGGTCTGGATCCACGATGGTCGCAAACCCATTATGTTGGTTTTGTCGTGACACGGCTCATATATACAATTGATAGTTCGGTGACTAGTCTTTCAATAATTGATCAGACGACATTGTCCTTGTGTTTTTTTTGGTAACGGATTGCTTTGAGTAATTGAGACCTGCTCGTATTTCCTTTAGCTTCGGGTCTGTCTGCCACTAATTTAGTAAGAAATCACTTGATGACATCACACTTCCTGATTATCTTAGTTATGGGTCTGTTTGGTATTTTCATCCTGACCAAATTCCAAAATTGGTACCACGCATAGTCATAGTTGTGCTAATAACCGTCCGTTTTTGGGGTTATGGGTTTCGCCTCAGCCTCGCTTTAATATGTTACTCATCTGCTGCAGAAACACGCGCTTTTTAATAATACATGCAACGTCTGCGATAGATACAATCTCATATTTCATACCAAAGTTACAAACCAAAAGTACATTTGTTTGACTGATGGTGTCTTAACGAGTTTTTTTAAAGGGACATTAAAAAACATTTGTTTTACGTCAGTCTTTATGTTATATGAGCAAATCTGTTACATTTATTCTCATAAAAACACTTTATAAATCAATGCTTTTTCTTTTTAAAGCTCTCGTCGCTTACAACAGAGCAGGGTATTTTGAGTATTTAAGTTAGAACAGCCATTGCCCGAACAGAGCACCGCATATATGATAAACTGTATGTCCATTCTTTTACATAAATTCATCTATAAATTGTTCTCTTAAATGACCTTCAAAGTTTGCCGCTGTCCAGTGTCATGCCATGATCTTTGTTTGTGCGTCTTATATATCGTAAAAGGCCCGATCTACAAAAGTGTTATTTTTCTACGTGATAGAAACAGTATTCCTGTTTGAATACATCTATGAACATGTAATTTTTAAACAATTTACAATACATTTAATTGGATCATAACAATTATACATGCTTATTTGGCCTTTTCGCATATAAAACATGGTCATTTTATGTCTCAAACTGGCTAAGAATGAACAAGAAAAGCTTCAGGATGAGGATTGTAAAGAAACAACATCTTAGCAATAACAAAAGTACTCGTACAATCATTGCGAAATTTTTTATACAATTTATCAATTACTTGATAATTTTGTTGCACCAATAAAACCCTTCAACATATAAGAAAGTACGTTTATCATTGTCGTCTAGGTAAACGTGTGTTCATCGTCACCAACGGGGCAATGCAACTGGTACAAATATCTCTCGATTAAGAAAAAGAGAAATTTCATGCGCCATTAAATGGAACCTCCTTTTTTAAATATACGTATGAAAGACGTGTTAGTAGTGCCAGATGGAGTAGCCGGTTATCGAACTTTCAAGTCCTGGATTTGTGGTCAGTCAGACATTAGTCTTTTATATTAGATGGTGACATTTGAGATTTAAGGTTAAAGGTGTAAATACTGAACAAAAACAAAAAAACAACACAAAAAACAAACGCACGAAAACTTAAAGTCGTGTATCATAGTTTGGAGTCCTTTCTATTGAAAATATGTAAGAGAGAGAGAGTTGAATTGCATACACCATACATGCATCGTGTGTCAACTGGAGTGCTGGGTCCAAGGTTATAAAGAAATAATCTGAGCTCAAACTGAGATTTCCATTATTTGATTGGCCAGAAACCAGCTCAGAATGCAAATTGACTAATGAAAATGTTCAGATTTTAGTTCGAACTCAGAAAAAGGATTTAAAACCTAGAGGCCAGGTATTAGGGTATTAGTTACCTGCACTTTATGTTACGCACCGGTCGGGGATAAAACTAGAGCATGCTCGTTGATTGGCTAATTTTTTTTCTTGGGTTAACTCATTGTGACGACAGGGAACGAGATAAAGATAGAAAAAATATAATCAGATGCTTGTACGTTGGTTTAATTTTCTGGGGTTTCATATTGTAACGGCAGTGAACGTGCTTTTATTTTTGCCTATGATACGCCCCTCGTACAATTCAGATAACCTCGTGTTTCGATGCTCTTTCTATTACTTAACGATATAGAACAAGATGCTCTTTCTATTACATAATATTCTAGAACTAAACGTTGTATAGTTATAAATAGTGGTTATATATACATGAATACATATTCTCACTTCTTACGAGGATTTATATTTATAATTTGTTCTGATTTATTCATTGGGGTGTAATGCTCTGGCTTATGAGCTTAAATATTTAATCACGGCGGAGATTATTGCATTAGTAAAGGACATCGGACAAGGTCTTAGACTAGTTATAGTATAATGGTTGTTTATAACCATTTTGCACCAGATTTACTCAATTACCAATCTAGTCATTTACTTAGTACATAAATACTGTCTATGACCCGGTTTAAAAACAAGGTTAAGTCTACACCAGCTAGAAAATACATGTAATATAATTGAAAGAAACAACTTTCTCAAAAGAGAATTATCATAATATGTCATTTTGACACCCACCCACTTAACCATTTGATATCGATCAATCATTATCAAAACATTTTTTTCATGTAAGATTTCAATTTTACTTCGGGTGAAACATATACATTTCTTTTTTTACTTAAAGGCACATTATGCCTCCCTCAGAAATCGATGTACATTAAATTCATTTGATATGTCAAACATGTGTTTAATAATGTTTTAATAATGGATTTAGAGCATGTAAGATGTTTTACAACTGAAGAAAGTAGTAGTTTGACTTCGATACAAAATACTTATTTACTATAATTTTACCAATTACCAACAAAGCAAAAGTTGTTCATCTATATGGCAAATGAGTATTTTTTTTATTTTTGAAATTGTAACAAGATACACAAAATTTAAAGTTTTTGTGAAATGAAAATGATAGTATTTCTTAGGCATAATTGGCCTTTAATTTTATCTATCCACACGATGTAGAAGAAAACTACTGCTATTTCATTCAGTGATCAACATAAAAAAAATAATATCAAAACTATCCGCTATTAACAACTATGTCAAGCATCACTTTAATGTTATTCAAACTGTTCTTAAGATGAATTTATGATGCTATGTTATTGGTGAGATAGCCATAGAATAATGATTATTAAACGATTTAAAAAAGCAATTTAATAAAAGTTATTATTGAACGATTTAAAATACTATATAAAAACTTTTTTATTGTATTGTTATCATTAATGATTGCAATAAAGTAAGGGTTATCATTAAATGACTTACAGTATTATTATTATTATTATTATTATTATTATTATTATTATCATCATCATCACCTGTATATCTTCGACTATTCGGAAGCAATAAAGATGTATATATCATCATCATCATCATCACCACCATCATCATCATTATTATTATCATCATCATGATCGTCATCATCATCATCACACCATCATCATCATCATTATTATTTTTTTTTATTATTATTATTATTATTATTATTATTGTTATTAGTGAGTATGGGTTTAAGTAGAGTGATGGTGTTAATTAGGCGCACGACCTTTCACCTAATTTTCTCTCCTCTTTTATTGGTTGTGGTTATTATTGCTGCATGGAAAAACTGAGCTGTTTGTCAAACATGATAGAATTTCAATGCAGCAGAAGGCAATATTATTTTACAAGTCTAAAAAGCTAGGATATTAAATATTAATGACGTTTAATGTTTCTTACAAGTTGAAAAGTAGCATATGCTCAGCAGCGTGTATTTTAGTGTATCAGTGGCATTTATACTAGTTTAAACTTTAAACGACACTTTAAAAACATTTTTAATCTTTCTGCTAAATCACTTTGCGATAAAGTGTTTTACAAATGCACTTTTTGAAAAATAAATCTTAATACGCATCCCCAGTTTTCATTACCTACATGTTTATTGGATGGTATAGATATCTAGATATGTTGTAACAATATTTACTTTATATCGGAAAATTCTTGTCGCTTAAATGGAAAAAAGTAATATAAAATGAATATCGATTAGTGAAAACGAATGAAGAATGTACCAGCTTGCTTATTACATGAATATCTCACAGGTCATGTGAACCTTTCAATATGTTTTAAAAAGAAAATGTGCTACATTACAGGTTATGTTCATTTCTTATACCTACTTTGTCTTTTACAGAGACCTGTAAAACCGTGAAAACCGCAGTCATCAACCTGAAAACCGAATAATGGGAACTAACGAAAAGATTTTGATAAATATCTGAATTTTCCGTAATTTTCTGGACATGAACGTTTTACAGAACTTGTTGGCTATTTTTGCAAGTTTCGTATGTCTTCAGTCAAGTTTGGATACGACGGTGGTTTTGGGAGAAATCCATGGTGATATTTTTACAAATTGCGGAGGAATATACGAAACTCCTCAAGGTGTTTTGTCGACTCCAAATTTCCCGGCATCATATCCAACACCATTGTACTGCGAATGGCTTATACATGCGCCACCGGGCAAGAAAATAGTTCTATATTTCACCCAGAATTTTATGAAAGATTCGATCTACATCTCGTCATATGATTATTATGAAGACATCAACCTCTATGTAGGACGTAAAGAATTAGGTCAAATATTCTGGGAGCACGACTTGGCGTTTTTAGTAGAATACAAGCCGTACGTGTTAATTCAGTTTTCCGTCGAGGCGATCGGCAACCGGCATCTACGGGTAATAGATCATTTACTAGATGTTTATGGATTCAACATCACCTACGAATTTATAGACATTGAAAATGACTTAGTAAAACAAACATGTTCAGTGAAAACTTGTTCATATCTAGGTAACTGTATTGCCTCGTCCGATTTCTCGGAGTATTCCTGCCGTTGTTTTGAGAAATTCTTTGGGGAAAATTGCCAGTATGGACCTTACTGCGATCCGGCAAATGGAATTAACCTTTGCTCAAATGGAGGCCTTTGCAAGTAAGTTTGATCTATGATACTTTCGTTTTATGCATATTGTAAAGAAAATGTGAAATAAAAACTCAGGCAGAGTGATTCTTATATTTGTACATGTATAAAAGCTTTGTCAACTGTAATGAAAAGGTATACAAGACCATGTTCTGCAAACTTTTACCGTAATGGTTTCGTGCATACTCCTTTGCTATCCATACAGATATTTTGGAATGAATATGGTTGTATGTATTTCTATTCTAAAACCACATATGTGCAGTTACATTTGATAAATCTATGATTTTCTTCAGAATTGAGGAAACTTCCTTAAGGAAAAAATGCAAAATTTATCACAAACGAACTAATGAATTCATTACCCCTGTACATGTAAGAAAGAAACTGTTAATCAGCACGGAATACGAGGGAGATAAGCGAAACCTAGAAATTATATTACGTTTTATTTCGACTTTTCGCTTAAGATTTTGGGCCGAAAACTCCAAATAAGCCTGACAATTATGGTGTCAAAAGACGCCAAGTTTTTAACTTTTTTATGTTAAAATTAAACCATGAAAAGTGAAAATAACATTATTTATTTCTAGTCAGGTCGAAAAGTAGATGGCTGAAACAGGTTTCCGTAGTTAAAGCGAGACAAATAACATTTAAATGACAAGTATTATATTGGCGTAAGAAACAGCTGTTTAATTAAATAATTGTACATCTTCATGTCAACCTAATTACGTATTGCGTGAGATACTGTATTACATTGCAAAAAGAAGAGTATATTATATCAACAAATCGGTCGTTTGATATAAATAGCGTTTAAATGGTATGGTAGACGCTTAACATTTCTACATCTTAATTAATGTTTTAACATGTACGTAACGTCATCCACAGCTGCGATCAGAATTTAAAGCGGCCACGAATCATTTTGTAAAAAGCTGACGGTGATAATGGTTAATTAGTTAGCATAAAATGTAATGAATGGTTACTTAATTAATTCATGTATAACTCTGTCTGCTTGTATTATATTTTTTCTTATTTCTTTCTTTTTTACTTTCATTTATGTAAATAACATTTCTTTATTTAAATAACATTTATTAATAAATTAATTAAAATTAATTTATTTATTTATCTATTTATTTACTTATTTGTTTATTTATTTTATTTATTTGATGGAGGGAATTTTCTTCCTATTAGAGCACCTCGTGCTCATAGTCGCACATATGATAATTATAAATGATAAAGTTTTATTTACATGTATGAGAGTGTAAAGCTGTTACCGGTAGCTTACGTAGCAGGGGGGCGTTGTATTCTAAAACAAGCTCAGTAGGTACCGTACGATTAGCTCAATAGGTTGAGCATTGGACTATGAATCGTGCGACCCGGGTTCGATTCCCGGACGGTGCAGGTCACTTTCGATGTAATCATGAAATCTTTTCTAAGGTCATTCGCATTGTACCTCTGATCTGGCATGTGCAGAAGCTACGTACTGTTCCATACGAAATTGATAGCAACTTGTACGCCTTCCCAGGAACGATGCGGCGACTGAACTGTGATCTGGTAAATTCAATGTGGCACCCTGTCGTTCGCAACACCACCACGTTATATTCTGTTTCTTGGTTAATCGATGTGGACCGAATATTAAAGGCATTTTTGCTTATAGTTGTTTTAAGCATTATAATATATTCAAGTCATTTCTACGGTATAAAACTATGTTAATGCATAAAGAAAATTCTATAATAACCGTGACCACAGTGTATTAGAGACAACAGAAGTTTTTTTAAACCAGAATTTGACGTTTAACATAGCATATCATAGCATAGCATAGCGTAGACATGCGTAGCGTAACGTAACGGAACGGAACGGAACGGAACGTAGCGTAGCGTAACGTAACGTAACGTAACGTGACGTGACGTGACTTGACATGACATGACATGACATGACATGACATGACATGACATGACATGACATGACATGACATGACATGACATGACATGGCATGGCATGGCATGGCATAGCATAACATAACATATCATAACATAACATAGTTTAAAAATAAATTTCTAGTGTATATATCAGTCGCATCTTAGTATCTTTCAAATGTGTCACATATTTTAAGCTATTAAAATAAATAACGATCGAGACAGTTGAAAGAACGCAGCTGAACGAAAGCTGCTTTGTCTTTTTTCTTTCTTTTCTTTTTATTTTAAAATCCACTTTAGCTGACTCGGTGTTTAAAGGCATAAACGGTCCAATAAACGCTTTTGAAGGATGAACGCAGTTTATTGGTATTAGATATTTTTCAAAGATAAAATCAGTCACATTCGTTAAAGTATGCCACACTCGGTAACGTAGAAATTAGCCAAGTAACAATTGGTAGGGTGTGTAAAAACTAGTGGCGTAAATAACCAATCGGTAAAGTATATATCAAATGGTATGTTACAGTTGGTAAAAACAGCATATTTAAAATAATAATCGGTAAGGTATATAGCTATCATTTACATAAATTTAGCTTTCATTATTTTAAAGAAATCGGTAACGTAACGTGTGACAATCTGTAACATATACATGTGTATTATGTAATAATCGGTAATGTTTGCAAAATACCCGGTACGTATATAACAATTGATGAAATAAACAAGTATTTAATATGTAAAAATCAATAACGTATGTTGGAACCCATTACTTGTGTTAAAGGTGGAAAACTTATGTTACAACTAAGTAACGTACGTACCTTTTGATAACGTAAGTGATGGTCGGTTATATAAGTTACACTCGATATTGCATGTCAGTAACCTTAACAATTGGTATATATGAGCCAGAGAATAATAATAAAACAATTAGTTTACGTATCCAGCTAAGAGGCAGTATCATAGATAATATTCAGCAATGTCTAAAATAATGTACAAAAATTGTTTCAATTAGCAAACATATAGACAAAATTGATACTATTCTTAAGTATTCGATGAATTACAAACATGATTTTTGTCCAATCAAACCAGGACACAGATATGTTCCACTACCATTGAATCATATGAACTGTTAAAATACCTAGGCAGCATGCTATTTAAGGATATGGACATGTGCGCTTCTTATAATAAACTTTATTGGTTGTTTATGCTTGCAGGTATTTCTTCGGTTCTTTGATCAACCAGTGTGTATGCCCGGAAGGCTTCGAAGGAGCCTATTGTGAAAGGTCTGCAGGCGAAGTCCTTAACGTAACCGTGTTACCAGAAGGTAAGCATTTCCTTTTCTGATTTTCATTCACATCAAGGAGTTACTTGAAGGAAGAGTTATATTTGTAGTTATGTTATAAAGAATTCTATGTAAACAGGCTTCCTAAAATGCTGAACACTTGCGCTTAACACTTCTGTCATATTTGTAACCTAGTGTGGTCTACCGGCCAATAGGCAAATAAAAATAAAATAAAACAAGTGACGGGCACCCTGTGTTCAAGCTGTCACAGCCACAGTACTCGAATCACTTGTCCCTCACTGTTGCGAGTTCGAATCCCGTCAGAATGATTCGAGTCTAGTGCCTGGAAGAGACTTGAAAAGGGCACATGTTTTTGGGTTTCTGTGTTTTTTTTCTGCCACCAGTAAAGCTGAAAATGATACAAATTGATTAATGATACAATTTTTTTCTGCACTCTTTTGAGTATTTGCCTATGAGAGCATATAGTTCAAGACCTACAGAGATAATATTCCACTTTTTTGTCTCTTTATTCTGTGAAATTCTATTGACATTTCATTAAGCTTCTCATTTTTACCGTCTACTTTATTTTAAGTTGTGTGATATCGCTCTTCCTGTAGCAGAAAAGCCGTAGGAAAGCTTAAGAACGTTGAAAAACAGTTTTATGCAGCATATTAAAATGTATGATCAGACAGGTGGCATGCTGTTGCTCTGCATATTATCTTATGTACTTTTAGGAACTGCATAACAAATTTCCTCAAATTTTTGCGTTTCATTGTGGTGTTGTGAATACACATGAACTTTTATCAATTTTTCAAAACATGGTTATAATTGAGATAGTAAACATGTATTTAATGTATCTATAACAGAATGTTCAGCTCTCAAGTGTAGCCACACGTGTGAGGTGGACTTCACAGGTCAGCCACAGTGCTATTGTCCGGACGGCTATGCAATAGAAGAAGATAATGAAACCTGCACACCTATCGGTAACACTTTAATTTCACAATATACCTTTTTCTGTTCATGACTTTCATGACCGGCAATACGACGGTGGCTTGCTGATTTTTCGTATATATTTATTCCTGGGCGGAAGTGGCCTTGTGAAATAATAAATTTGTTTGCCATAAGATATTTATAATGTAAAAAAGTGACTGATTCAGCCAACTGCAGAAAAGGTAGCCCCAATGGTAATAATTGTGATGACATCAAAATAAAGTTAAAAATAGTCTAGATATATTGAGTCAATCAGCACGAAGAAAATAGAATTAGAACGCAATGGCTGGTTTGGTGTAGTGGTCCGTGCTTTGAGTCCAAACTGCGGTGTGCAGATTTTTCGTGTGATTATTCTGTGTATATTGTGATCGAGGGAATGATTACGTTCTATGATAAAAATTATACATGGTATTGAGACACAGTGGGTAGGTTCCTATCGCTGTAAGTCCGAATCCAGTCTCATACGGTGAAATCTTTCATGTGAAGAAGCCATGTAGCCTGGCTTGCAGATGCTCGGGGTTTTTTTTTTGGTTTTTTTTTTACGAAAATGCCAGCTTGTTCCAACACAATGGTAAGGCAACTTAAATGTGTCCTCTAAAGTGAAGCTAAAATATCGCAATTTAAAACAAAACGTGTTATTTTATTTTATTGATCTATTAACGAAATTAAAGTACGCTTAAAAGAAAGACATTGAAAAAAAAGAGATTTTTTTCGCTATCAAAACAGTACGTACATATACATTACTTGTAACAATTTAGTCAGACTTATGTGAAGTTCTACATTTATATTATTGCTCTAAGAACGTTCAAAGAAAATAAACCCCATTACAAGTATCATTACCCAAAATGCTAGGAATTGCCGGTTAGCTTAATATTCGAAAAATATTGAAAATATTGTTGTTTTTTTTTTCGCAAAAAAGACTCCTTCCTCAACAATAAAGCTTATATTTCTTCTTTTTTTAAAAATTCCGAATATTGCACCCAACTGGAGACTACACACTGATTTCCAGCTTCGTTATCAAGATAGTAGTTCATTTCTATATATAAGTAGCCATTCAAAAATATGGCGGATGACGTGCCCTTTAGGCGCCTCTTCTGATGTTTTTGGTCGTATTGTTATCATGCGTTATTAAATTTTCGATTCTGATTGGCTATGGGCAAGCGGTGTAGGGGTAGAGATGATCAAATCTTGATACTTTTATATGTCGCCGTCCAGAAATTCCAAAATGCGACAATAAATAAGATCAACATTACATTGTCTAAGGTCGTTCGCATTACTGACATAAGGCCATGAACGTAAAGTATATAATTATATAGAAACTTTTATAGTATATTTTCTTAAATCCACCGCGAATGAAATAATGAATAAGCAAATGGCTCAAGCTGTTGCAAGCACGTTATTTCCTTCTTTTGTGGGTTTGTTACGTTTTTATTTTGCTATTTTTCTGTCTTTTCGCAATCTTATTATATCTTATTTAAACATCAATTAAATTGATTTTTTATGTGAACAGATATGTCGATGCATTATGCAAAATTTAATGTATGCGCTTAACTGTGCAATCGTTAAAGTGCAATAGACACTAAACTTAAGTCTTTTTGTCGTTTCAGATCGATATCGCTTTGACGTTGCAATACAATTTCAGAAAACGATCAGAAGTCCATCAGTCATAGAAAAAGAGAAAATAAAAAATCAGGTAGGCAGTGTATAAAAATTTACCTCGACAAGTAAATTGTAAAGTCGCCACATGATCTTTACAGTGAAGGTTATTGAAGTGATCCCCTCCAATAATGTTATAAAATAAATAAATAAACGACCGAGGTTTCATTATCTTAAATAGATATGCGTTGTTCTTTGAACTCACCTTTTCTTTTATTCTTCTTTGACTTCAAAATATTGCATTTGTATAGAAAAAGCATCGATCTCAGCTTGTTTTTTTTTCTTGTTAAAGGCAATAGAAAAGTATAATTACAACCACAACCTGGCTCTTGAAGTGCAAAAAATGTAGCATAAGTATATTAAAAATGGTTTCAAGCCTTTGTAAATTGTCTACCATAGCATGCGACTCATCTGGCAGCTCGATACCAGATGAAATTTTCGGCATGGTTAAAACTATCCAATGTGTGACTGTAGTTATGTTAAACTCGTGCTATACTAAAGAAAAGTACACGAAGGAATTTACGTAACCCATATATTGAAATGTATCGTATAAATCCATATATCCTAACGCAAATTACTATATCGTAGACATTAATTGTCAAATATTGCTTCAACTATGTTATATACCTGCCATAAACCATATGTTGTTACTATGGTGTCTCATTTGTGCCAAAACAAATGTGCCTTGTTTTCGTCATAAACATGTTGTCTTTTTTATTGCATATATCTGTCGTGTTTTCGTCACAAATATGTCATGTCATGGCGTTTTCGTGCTTGCAATAGGTAAGAAAAGTCATTTACAAGAAAGAGTCACGTCTTGTCATTTTCTTGTTGTTTTGTTATTTACTTACCCTAAAACGACGTGACCTGAATTTGCCACTCTAAAATAAGGAGTGTTTGTCTCCGACCGGTGAATATCGTTCTGAATAATTGATGGAACAAGTGCGGGTAGATTACCGACATAACAGATGGAATTCACCCATAACACTTTACGTTAAGTGAATCAAGATTTCTATCTTTGTTGAAATATTAATGAGAGGACCAATGTACCTGAATAACCTAGATGTATGAACTTGTCTGTAAATAATTCTATTTTTGATTTTGCTGAAATATGATTCTGCTGAAATATGATTCAATACAATTTTGCTAAACTTCATTTCGTTATTTTTGTGATATGTATTTTATAATTTTGCTTACAAAATGATTTTATATTATTGAAGCAACATGCCTCCTGATTCACGTTAATTTTTATGAATATTTTGAAAATGTATTTAAAAGTAAAATATTGTGAAGTGAACAAAGAAAGTAATTTACACATTGCAGACGGCACTTACAATCCACGTTAGAAACGCAGTAGAATGATATGATTGAAACTGCAAAATCAGTCATTAACCGCACATAACATGTGAATAATTAATTAAATATTGAATCTTTTTTTACTTTTCTTAAGATCTTAATACATTTTGCTAAAGATTGAATTTCTTGAAATATTTTGGATCATCTGGAGGCGTGCAGCTTTAAGAGGGATATAGGTTTATGATGTTGCTAAATATATACATGTAATATATTGCTGGTACATGTATATATTTCATCATGTTGCTCACATATAGATTTGTGTGAACTATGCCTATCTTGTTACGAATAAAATCATGTAACCCCCTGTGAAACTGTAATACATATAGATTGTTAGCAATAAATATGCATAAAATTATTCATAAGATTTATATGCATGTAATATATGACTCTTGATGTATGACCTATTTTCATAACAGTTTTACAATACCATTCTAATGACATTAGTAGATGTCAATATAATATTGAAAGAATACCTTTGGTAGACAAAGAAGAATTAGAATAAATTTACATTTGAATTCCCAAAGCGGAGCAATGTATCATTTTGATTTTCGAACTGAATTTACTGCAATATTAGAGAGTAATCGGCGTGCAAAGCTAAATGGATATTGAATTTTAATCTTAATATCTATTGTTATTTTTCCTCAAATTAAGATATATCAGATATATGTTTGCTGAAGTTATATTTGATGAATTTTATTTATCCTATATTTCCAGATCCGTAAAACATTGACGGAGAATGGCATTACGACATTATCTAATTTAAAAATTCGACGGTTCAGGTAAAATATAATTGAGCCGCGTCACGACAAAACCAACATAGTGCGTTCAGGATCCATGTTGTTCGCTTACCAACTCTATTACAAGTAGAGAAACTGATAGCGAACAGCATGGATCCTGATCAGACTGCGCGGATGCGCAGGCTGCTCTGGATCCATGCTGGTCACAAACCCATTATGTTGGTTTTGTCGTGACGCGGCTCATATTATATTCATATATTGTACCTTGATAATTCGTACATGTGTTAAGTTATGCATCGGAACTATTTTTAAAAATAATCAATGATAATCTTCCGCTTTCCTTCTTATAACAATAGCTAAACAGGCACGTAATTCCTCTTTTTTTCTTGTAAAAATAGGGAAAGGGATACGTAATTTCTCGCTAACAATAGCTCATGAGGCACGTAATTCCTCGCTTTTTTATGATAATAGCTAAAGAGGCACGTAATTCCTGACGTTCTTTCTTATAATTATATTAATATAATAATTATATTATAAAGGGAACGCGTCAAACTCTCACACTGATTACCTCCCTTGGCAGAATTGTAATAATAATAATTGTTATCTCTGTACTGATAAGGGGAGATCACTGCGTAGGAGATTGGGGACGTGTAATTCCTCGCCTTTTTTCTTATAACAATAGCTAGTAATATTAAGATAACTTTGTAATACTGGTAAAAATAACTAAGGCGGCACATTTTTAATGTGATCTCATAAAATATATGTCCATAAAGTTGGCGATTCCTTAAAAGAAATAAGCAATATATGAGCCGCGTCATGACAAAACCAACATAATGGGTTTGCGACCAGCATGGATCCATGCTGTTCGCTTACCAACTCTTTTACAATTAGAGAAACTGATAGCGAACAGCATGGATCCTGATCAGACTGCGCGGATGCGCAGGCTGGTCTGGATCCATGCTGGCCGCAAACCCATTATGTTGGTTTTGTCATGACACGGCTCATATATAAACGGTCTATTCTGATCTTGCTGGAATCAAGTACTTCTTTAAATTATCTATAATAAGAATGATGCATCTCTTTAAACAGAAATACCACAGAAACGACAGTGATGGAGTTTTATTTTTATTGTTTGGTATCTGAGGTGGGGTTGGTACAAGCAGCACTGCACGCAGTCAGTCAACATCGTGTTGTGTCTGGGCACCAGCTGAAAAAGAAAACACTTAAATATGAAAAGAATCCGGGTATGAACTTCTTTCTGTATGTTTTATTTAATTAATTAAAAGTCAGTAGGGTTAAGTAGGCTGAATTTGTTTAGATAAAAAAGGCAATCTGACCGTAGCGTTGAGTTGAGTGTTGATAATGTAACTGAATAAAAATACTCGACTGTTTCGGCCACATCTGGTGACCTTAACTTAAAGAAAATAATTATGTACTGATCAATAAATTAATGAGTTAGAAGTGACATTTTTATTGTTAATTATACATACAATGTATATAAATGACCTTGATGATATACTTGGATTTGATTATTGTAAATGGGTATATAGAGTCATTATTGCCAACAGGCAAGACATTGCTTGGTCTAAATGTATGTGTTGGCCCACTTACTGTGGGATGGATGAAAAAGGTAAGTGAGGGCATTGGGGAAAATGCTCCCCCGTGAAATTGTTTAAATCTGGATTGTCCGGAATGCGGGCTTTTTTTTTTTTTTGGAGGATGAATATCGTAATATGATCAGTGATTTAAAAAAAATTGCAGGTGGACAAATAGTTCTATTTTTTCAATTTGTTTGGAAAAACGTATAGTCCTCCCATGTCTACACGGGCTATAGAAAGAAGCTACGCCACTGGCTAAATGCCTGTGAACACATTTTTGTTTTAAATATCTAATACATTAACTTTACATCTTTACATATTATTTCCAACTTACAAACACCCTTTTTATTTTGGAAAAATCTATGTCGAAATACATGTACACTCTTGCTGAATAATTACTTGCTAACTGTAAAAGATTTGTGTTTATTACAGAGCTGGTATTATCCGAGGTCATGAACTATGACCCTCATCCAACCCTCCGAGGGAAAATGTTAACCCTTGTGTGCGCTGCGAAGGGATCACAGAATTTAAGGTTTCGTTGGTTTAAGGACAATGTTCATGTTGACACAAGTTTAACCTCGAGGAACGCATGGGAGACAATTGTACCTCATACTGTACATGGAATGTACCTCTCTGTTCTAAATATAGACAGTGTGATGCCGATTGACCAAGGTAATTTGTTTGAATTCAGTTTCAGTTTGTTTGAATATCACCGACCGTATTTGTCTTCTTTAGTTGTTTGTAACCCCGCGAGTGGCTCTGAAAACTTTCATATGACAATGTTGTCCAGCTTACTTACGGAACGTCGGGGGTTTACCCTTTCTTGCCTAACATAATGCACGGAGGGGCACCTAGAGTCTTTCACCATGACTACAGCTGATTAATCTCAGAATTAAAAGCTTTTACAGTGTTGGTACCACGAAAAGCCAAACCCCCCTTAAAAACAAGCGAGGCACAATAAGTTGTCTTTTTTTGCCTTTTTTTGTTCTGAAAGACATGACAAAAGAATCAAAGAAAAGTGAATCTGTTGGAAAACAGAGCTTATCAACAAAGTGCAATATTTGTTTAATATTTATAATGTAAAAGACCAAGGGCATTGGTTCAAATAGCATAAATGGTGTAATGCGAGTTATTTTATTAGCATTATGACTATATAAAGTTTTTATAGCATTATTGTCGTAAACATGTGTTTATGATCTCATGTTGTTCTTTATATAGAAAGTTAATTGTTCTTAATATAGTTTAACACTATATTATAGTAACTTTTCATTGTGTGTAAAAATGTGAATAATACAAAGCAAATATTGCAGTTGGGCTACTGAATTAGCAACATCCCTCCCCATAAAGTCTAAATTGATACATATTTCTTTCGGATTCTTCCCATGTAATGCAAAAATCTGACTTAAAGACGAAAGTGTTATAACAAAAATGAAACTAAGTACATAGAAAGTGTCTGGACACTAAAGGTTTATGAAAGCGAATAATTCATTTGTTTTGTTGTTAGAAGCATGCTTATGTTACATATAATTTAAGTCTTATTGTTATTTAGGAGCTGATTTTAACCAGATTGTAACAAATATATAAGAAGAGTAACGTTTTCATGTCTATATTTACAGGTGTATTTACCTGTCAGGTAGAGGATTTTGGTGAGTCTGTCACCGGAAGTGTGGACGTCACCGTCAACAATTACCCACGGGTACAGTTAGACCCAATGTCCTTGAGTGTAAATAAAGGGGAAATGATAACATTCAAATGCCTTTCACCAGACGACAGTTGGCAACAGTTTACATATGAGTGGTATAAGGTAACTTAAGGGCCCATTATGCCCCAGAAATGCTTTTATTTTTATTTCTCAAAAACTTTTTTATTTTTGGTGTACTTTTATAGTTTCCAAAAAATTATTCATTGGCCAATTACCTGAATCATCTTTTTTTTCTTTTGCTTTTTTGGTAATTAATTAAGTTATATTGATTAAGTATTTTATATAGAAGTCAAAATACCAATTTGTTTACATTTTGCTGCTTGTGTGCCATTTAATTTTGTATTGAGCGCTACTTTTTCAGGTAGCAAGCATCTAATATGCTCTTTTTTTGTTGTTGTCGTCTTTTTTGTATAAATGAAGTCAATATATATAGGTAATGACAAATTACAGTGTGTTAGTGGTAGTATACTAAAATGACATAAAGTAACAAAAGTATATCAAGAGATCGGTTATATTTTTACACTTGTCTGTAACTTGTCAAATTTAATCTTATTAAGTGTAATATTTCACACCATGGAACAGTAAGCTATTTTTTTCAACGAATACCTTCAATATTCTATAATTTGACGTGAAAAAAACCATATGATTAAAATCATTATTATAATCTTAGAATGATCTACATGTCAAGGTCGTAAAGAAAGGTCATTTTATTAGTAAGAATACACTATTTTCTATTTTTAGAATGGAATCAAGATTTTAGCAAATTCACAAACCGAGTATGCAGAGCAAATGTATCCTACTGGAGTTCGACTTGTGGTGCAAGGCGTCCAAGTACACGGTGAATACACCTGTAAAGTTACCAATGAGGCCGGGTCTGCCAACGTGTCAGCTTATGTCTTCGTCATAAATGGTAATTTCTTTTGTTGTTGTTGTTGTTGCTGTTGGGTTTTAAGTCGCACCAACACGGTATAGGTCATATGACGACTGTTTCAGCTTTACTGGTTGAGGAAGACCTCGAGTGCCCTTCCGTGTATTATTTCAGGCACAAACGGGAACCTGAGTAGAACAACCGACGTTCCGTAAGCAAGCTGGATATATATAGCTTCCTCACATGAAATAATCCGAAGTCCCTGTCGGGATTCGAACTCATAGCGTTGAGGAGCAAGTGGTTTGAAGTCAATGACTACTCGGCCACGGAGTTTACCCTTAATGATAATATGACAACGTAGACACTAAAGAATTTCAGTTAAACTAGAGTGCAAAGTGAGTTCAGTTTGATGCGTATATATTTCTGTGTATTAGGCGATCTAACGACACTAATCTGTCGGATTCCATTTTGAAATTCTACATTTTATACGAACATGCTAACAAATATATCAGAAAGTTGGTTTAATCAAGAATTCTGTTGCAGATAATACAACGGTACAGTTCTGTTTGAGGAGTTATGTAGGGGAGGTAATGTGGTCAAATACTTCCGGTAACCATTTTGACGTCCAGCGTTGTCCAACAGAACAAGGAGGTGCGTATTCCCTTATTACATTAAATAACCAAAACATATTTAGTGGCTAAATGAATTTCTAAGCTGACTGATGTAATATGATATATTCACACCTATCCTTTCATTACTTACTAACTTAATTAAAAAATGTATAAAAGTACCACAAAATAAGTCATTTATCATATAAATCATGTATTGTAATCCCGATATGTTTATTGTTGTGGTGTTGTTTTATTCAGTCACAACTTTAATATCACAGGAACAATTGTCCCGTCGGATTTTCTTAAAATGAGCCGCGTCACGACAAAATCAACTTAGTGGGTTTGCGACCAGCATGGATCCAGACCAGCCTGCGCATCCGCGCAGTCTGATCAGGATCCATGCTGTTCGCTTAACAATTCCCAATTACAAGAAATTGATAGCGAACAGCATGGATCCTGATCAGACTGCGCGGATGCGCAGGCTGGTCTTGGCGCAGGCTGGTCTGGATCCATGCTGATCGCAAACGCACTATGTTGGTTTTGTCGTGACGCGACTCAAATGTATCTTTATACAGTATTGCAATATTATTTTTTTTCATGGAAAAGAGGGTTCATTGAATTAGGTTGTTGATGGTTTGGGGTGTGGCCGGGGTTATGGTTTGGGATGTGGCCGGGGTTATAGTTTGGGGTGTGGCCGGGGTTATGGTTTGGGTGCGGGAAGATAATTTACACGACATTTTCATATGTCTGGCTAGTAATGTAATCAATTTTCAAACTATTCAGGTTCGGTGCGTTAAAAGTTGACCACAAAGTGTGGTATTCCACACCTTAATATATTAATTAAGCCACTGACCTCCATTTAGGTAACTAGTTAACTGAATCTTAAGTTCCTGGCGAAATTGATATTGTACAGTTGAAAGAGCGAGATTTCAAGGTAAGTGATTAAAACCAGCGACTTCTTGTGAAAAAAAAAGAAGAAAATAAACGCAATTAAATTGATCTTTAAACATTTGTTAAATAACAATTAATCATACATATGATTGGAGAAGAGAAAGTTAAACCTTTCAAAAGCCGGGGGGGGGGGGGGGCAAACAGGTATGTACTGGATCCATGCTGTTCGCTATCAGTTTCTCTACGTAAGCGAACAACAATGATCCTGATCAGACTGCGCGGATGCGCAGGCTGGTCTGGATCCATGCTGGTCGCAAACTCAATATATTGGTTTTGTCGTGACACGGCCCAAATGTAGCTTTAATTAAAAAAAAAACTACTCGTAGAATTTATGATTACGTTTTGGCATAAATTAGCTTTACCTAAGAAAAATAACAACATAATTCTTTTAAATAAATAAAAAAAATATTAACAATTTGCTTGTACCTTTGTTAAGGAAAAATTGTCGTTTTGGTACATTCATTAAGTATTTTACAAATTCAAAATAGTTTTTATGTTGTGTTGGAGACTTTTAAAGAAACTTTTTCATTAGCACATCCCAATTTTAATGCCACATTTCTGTTGTTAACTGTGCTTCCTGCACGCACATTTTATTTTCTTCCTAAAAACAATTTTCAATAATTTGATGTTTTGTTTTTCCTATAGAAAATATCTTCTTTGAAATTTACTATATTATATAAGACATTACTTCATTGGCAGTGGTATCTTCAGGAATATTTATAAAACATTGTCTTGGCTTTGTGCAATCACTTTTTTCAGAGTTAATTGTGCATGTTGTTTATCACTTTCGCTACAATTTGAAAATATCAAAATAAGACATCTATTTTACCTTAACGTTGCTATTGGTTGCAAGCCTAATGTATTTCATCGCTATCTAGTCATCGCTATTGATAAAATAAGAATTATTCAAATTGCTAGCTACTGGTTACAATCAGAATTTATCAAATCGCTATTGATTACAGTCAGATTTTTTCAAATCAAATTACTATTGATTAAACTCAGAATAAATTAAATCGATGTTCGTCAAAATCAGAAGTAATTTAATCGCTATTGGTTACATTCAGAATTAATCAAATCGCTATTGATTTCAATCATAATTTTCAAATCGCTATTGTTTCAATCATAATTTATCAAATCAAATCACTATTGGTTCAAATCGGAATTATTCAAATCGATATTCGTTAAAATCAGATTTAATTACGTTGCTAAATATTAAAAGCTAAAAATGATTCATCAATACTGGAAAGAATTAGGAATTCTATCGGCAAAAAATAAAACAAACAACATGATTATATCGCTAATTACTTAGAATCATAATTGTTAACATTTCTATTTGTTAAACAGTTACATTGCTAATGGTGAGAAACATGTCAAGAATACAGCTATTTAAGAGATTGAAGCAAAATGCGCATGCGCGAAATACTTCTTCCGTTACTAAGGCAATATCGTAGTGTAAAAAGATTTATACTTGCATTCAACATTGCTAGTGGTTAAAATCTTAAATGATTACATCGCTAAATATAATAACAATCGATTATATTGATTTGGTGGTGTTGGTAGTTTTCTCTCCGAATCACGGCAGCAAGCCACAATGAATTTTCCAGAGCACAGTTCATGAGCCGCACATCGCATTACTATCACAATAAAGTAGAAAAAAAAACAACTGTCCTTTATATTCACAGGAAACAATTGCTCGAAACATTATAATATTATAATCATATTGTAAATAGTTGAGCCATACACTTCTCGTGATTGTACTTGTCAGTAGCAAAATTTCTTGATTGCTTATTACGAAATACTGGTCGGAACGTTTTGACTTTTTATAATTTTGTCAATTTAACTTAACGAATTCACGATTTCAACTGCATGAATTCGCAATTGAAACATATTGAAATCATGAATTGACGATGTCAAATTCACGAATTCACAATTTCAACATGTCGAATTCGTGATGTTGAAATCTTCAATTCGTGATGCTGAAATTGTGACAACGTGAATTCATGAACACATGGCGTTGAAATCGTGAATTTTCGGAGTTCAAATCGTGAATTTGTGACGTGTAAGTCAAGAATTCATTAAATCGTGAATAATGATGTTAAAATGTCATACCTTGTTTTTCTAAGATCAAACAGAAAACTAAAAAAGTACGGAATCGAATAATGATCGCAAGGAAAATTGACCGACAGTTGACTTGCTCCACCATCTGTGGTACAATCCTTCCAATGCTTTCGTTGAATTCTTTGTAATTTATGTAACTTATTGTGTCACAGTGTCACAGATAAAAGAAATAAACCTTTTATATATGTTCTAAAGCGCAAGATGTGTGTTGTCACACTGTCTTAATTCCTAACTTTTTAACTTTGTATCCCACTTTTTAACTTTGTTTCCCACTTTTGTGAATAATTGTAGGAGAATATAGACAACTTGGAACAATAGACTTTGGTAAGGCACTGGTGACTTGTAAATACCTTGGCGTTACACTAGAACTTATGATGACTGATTTGTGCCATTTCATAATTTCGCTCCGCAGGGCGCGAGACGAAAACACGAAAATACGACAAAGACAACACTTTGTCGTATATTTGCTTCGCGGGGCGCCAAACGAAAATACGATAATACGATAAAAGTCATCATTTTGTCGTAGCCTCGTGTCTTCACCAGGCGCCTTGCGAAGGGAAAGTACAACAAAGTCGTCACTTTGTCGTATTATCGTGTTTCCGCTTGGTGCCTCGCGGAGCGAAAGTACGACCTAACACAAATCTGCCATCATAAGAAGTTGGGATTTATTAAAACCATCGTTTTAGGCGAGAACTTTTTATGTATCAAATATAAATACTTGCAAGAATATATTTAAAATCGAGACCTTTAACACTCTTTTGTATGACAATTGCAATTCTTAGAATTTGGAATAAATCAAATAAGATTTTTAAATTTCCTTTTGTTCCAACGATTGGTTAACACTATTAGACGATGTCATATCCGAGTTATTACCCAAAACGATGTGTTTTAAAATAAGCAAATGAATTACATGTTAATGTTATATGTATATGTTCTACCACCACTTTTTGCGTTCCTTTTTTTCGTTCAATCGTTAATGTCAGTTACTTTTAATTATTTATAGTATTTAATTTTAATCATATTCATGTAAGTTTTCTGAAGAAAATACAGTAATTTCCACTTGAGCAATTGTAACGCAGTCCACATTTCGTTTTAAATGCCCGGGTCGTGACGTCACGCTTAGTATTAATCTTGCGCATTGTATCACTCTAGTTGCTAGTATTCACACCCGTCCTGCCGGATCTTTGGCTATCCACTCAAGCGAAACAGTCCCGGCCAATGTTAAAGACTGTCATAAAGTTTTAAGAGGGTTTGATGAAAGTTATGTATTGATATATTCATTGAAGAGGCCCTCCTGTCCTCGAAATTAAAGGAGGCATATAGATAACATCCTCCTCGAAATTAAGGCATAAAGCAAGCCCTCCAGTCACCATCCTCTATTTGAAATTAAAAAAGCAGCATTAAGAGCACGCCCTCCAGTCACCACCCTCTATTTGAAGTTAAAGAAGCATTAGACACGCCCTCTAGTCACCATCCTCTATTTGAAATTAAAGAAGCATTGGGCACGCCCTCCAGTCACCATCTTCTATTTGAAATTAAAGAAGCCATTGGGCACGCTCTCCAGTTACCATCCTCTATTTGTAATTAAAGAAGGCATTGGACAAGCCCTCTAGTCACAACCCTCTACTTGAAACACGCCCTCTCTTCAAAAATAAAGCTGGTGACTCAGAGTTACATTTTATTGCCTGAGATCCCATGATATTAGAAAGTTTGAAATACAGGTATCAAATCTTTTATTTACGAAAGGTTAACATCTTTAATTTGCAGACTTCCAATTTATTTGTTCCTATTATTTCAAGCTGCTAGGTATAGAGTATAAAATGTTTATATGTTTATTTTTTTTAATGTTGTTGTTTCCTGACTTTATGTTGTAAATATCGTCTCACTTTTCACTGTCATGTTATGTTGTTGTCGTCACCCTTAAGAAATGATTTGGAGTTTAAATAGACTACACGTTGTTTAATCAGCTCTCTGTCTTTTAAAAAAGTAATGTTGCTTTTTCCTGGTGCACTTTTTAAAAATCAGATTTATTTCGTACTATTTTATTTCGTGGGACTAGTTTTGTAATCATTTCACACGTTGCTTTTTATTATATACATGTAGAATGCAAATGTAGGTACCTCCATTTGTAAATTAAGAGAAACAAAATCAAAATGCTTCTAGACTATACCCACAGGTTATCGGCGTGTGACCAAGCCCTATCCCCATGGTAATCAGTAATATATTTTTGTTAGAATTGTTTGTTAGAATTGTTTGATTTTGTATTGATATGTATTTTGAATGGGTTTAAGTATATTTGGATAGTTTAAAGGGGTTCTGGGGTTGTACCTTGGTCCCACGCCGATAGCCTGTGTACTATGCCATAAATTTCAAGACTGGCATGAATGTAGATTAATTTTTACTATATTATATTTTTCAATTTGTCAGCAACCATTGATATAATTATGCTAATGTAATAATTATGTTAAAAGTTAGAAACATAATAAACATATAAATTCTTATGCATCAGTTTGAACCGGAACATTTGGCATTGTATATAATATAATTATTATATATAATATTCAACGCGCTAAATGTTAGCGTTATACTATAGGCGCGTCAATGTTAAACGACTCTCTTTTCACTTTCAACGGTCTTTATTTTGGGTATGTGATAAATAGAATATTAAATTCGTGTAAGTTCATTACTGAATTTATTGAACTCGTTGAATATTATATATATATATATATATATATAAACGATGTGTTATATAAAGTTTTAAAAGAATTGTTGACATCTTATAGTTCAAAACGCTAAGAACAGTATCTGTCTTTCTGTCTCAAAAGACCAGTTTTTAATGGGATAAATTACATGGGATAAATTAAAGCTTAGTTTACTTAAATTATTCTTTATATTTATTATTAAGAATGTTAGATATTCGGTACGATACACGTATATTGTATTTTAAGGTTACGCAAGACGCCATTGCGAATGTGACGTCACGCAACGAAACTGCAAGTGGACCGAGCCAAACTTTTCAAAGTGTCAATCTCTACAGCTGATTAATACCTACGATGAAGTAAGTAGCCAATAGCCAAGTATATGTATTTGTCAAAAGATTTTTTTTGTTTTTCTGTTTGTAAACCCCATATAGGTAGAGAACCAATAAAATATGCTGCTTATTTATTTCGCGGAACTGAAAAGACATTTTAAGGCATTGCTGTCAATAATTGTGCTGCCTCGGTTAGTTGCCGCGAAGTTTAGCTACATCATTTAAAATTAACTGTAAAAACGAAAGATTTAAAAAATTGAATTCAATGAAAAATTGGGTATCTCTATATATCATGTTCTATATATCATGTTTATATATCATGTTCTATAAATCATGTTTTATATATCATATTCTACATATCATGTTCTATATATCATGTTTTATATATCATGTTACATATATCATGTTACATTTATCATGTTTTATATCATTTTCTATATACCTTGTTCCATATATCATGCTTTATATATCATGTTCTATGTATATCATGTTACATATATCATGTTACATATATCATGTTTTATATCATTTTCTATATACCTTGTTCCATATATTATGTTTTATATATCATGTTTTATATATCATGTTCCATGTATTATGTTTTATTTTTCTTGTTCCTTAAATCATGTTTTATATATCTTGTTCCATAAATCATGTTTTATATATCTTGTTCCATATATCATAGTCTCAGCATGGTTTATAGGCAGTGCCATCTAAAAACTGATCATTGTTAAAAAATATGGCTGTTTTGGTGTAACAGATTAAACTGCTCTATAGCTCAATGCCCTATTCCGAGTACCCCGTTCCCCATCTCAATAGATATAGTTATATCAAGTCTGTTTTGTTATACATCTTAGTGAACCAGGTTCATGTTTTCCTTTTCTATGGTCCATGCTATGCATGAAACAACTGAAATTCATTAATGTGCTTTGTTTGAATAAATACAGCACGAACTTTATTTGAATCACGTTTGTTAGGACGGTGCTTGAGTGTTTTAGTTTAGCTTTTAAATGAACGTTTTTCAGTTGGAACTTGTCCGCAATGGCTACCAACAGAAGAACCTGTCTGACATATTTGATGACTTGTATACGTTCGTCTTATCCAAAAACGAAGATGCCATGCTTTATGCCGGGGATGTTGACATGGTTGCTGGGATACTAAAAGAATTGCTGAGTCACATGAAGTCATTTCCCCAACTGGTTAAAATAGACGAAAAGAAAATACAAGCACAGGTAAAATGAGTTGAAAGTCGGTCTTAAGTCATACCGGTTTTATTACGGCTACAAGGTAGTTTCCAATCTTTACTAGTGCAGAAAGATATCGGATGATGTTCAGTATTTTATAATAAACAACAGGCGTGTTATAGCCCACAAAAGGGTAATGGAACGATTCGCCCAACTGACGATTCGTACTAAACGACTCGCCCAATTTTAATGACGATTCGCCAAACCTAATCATCCAAAAAAAAAAAACAACTTTTGCTGTGCTCGAAACTCGAAAACTTAAGGAACTAAGCTAATTGTGATTGAAACTGGAGCAATCCTGAGTTGATCGACATTCCTTGTGTTGCTTTTGCTGGTATATTTACTATTGTTTTTCCAAGTTAAGTTCTTCTGACATCAAATAATAACATGGATATAACTATGTAAATTTGTTCTTGATTTTTAGCGAATTCGCGTAAGACTAACATGCAATAACCAAGTATTTATTGTAATTATACCCCCAAAAACGAAGTTTGGGGGGGTATATAGGAGTCACCCGGTGGTCGGTTGGTCGGTCGGTCGGGCGGTCGGTCGGTCGGTCGGTCGGTCCAGACGTCCGTTGCATTTTCCTTGTCCGGACCATAACTTGAAGACTAATAGTTGGAATTCAATATAACTACATACAATGGCCAAGCACATTGAGAGGAAGTGCAGTGCACAAGAGCCATAACTCTATCTTGACTAATTACAGAGTTATTGCCCTTTGTTACTTTTCCTTGTCCGGGGCATAACTTGAAAACTACTGGTTGGAATTCAAAACAACTTCATACAATTGTCAAACACAATAAGGGGAAGTGCAGTGCACAAGAACCATAACTCTATCTAAAGTAATTACAGAGTTATAGCCCTTTGTTACTTTTCCATTGCTTTCTTTTGTCCGGACCATAACTTGAAGACTTATGGTTGGAATTCAATATAACTACATACAATGGTCAAGCACATTGAGAGGAAGTGCAGTGCACAAGAACCATAACTCTATCTTGACTAATTACAGAGTAATTGCCCTTTGTTACTTTTCCTTGTCCGGGGCATAACTTGAACACTACTGGTTGGAATTCAAAACAACGTCATACAATTGTCAAACACAATAAGGGGAAGTGCAGTGCACAAGAACCATAACTCTATCTAAAGTAATTACAGAGTTATTGCCCTTTGTTACTTTTCCATTGCTTTCTTTTGTCCGGACCATACCTTGAAGACTAATGGTTGGAATTCAATATAACTACATACAATGGTCAAGCACATTGAGAGGAAGTGCAGTGCACAAGAACCATAACTCTGTCTTGACTAATTACAGAGTTATTGCCCTTTGTTACTTTTCCTTGTCCAGAGCATAACTTGAAAACTACTGGTTGGAATTCAAAACAACTTCATACAATTGTCAAACACAGTAAGGGGAAGTGCAGTGCATAAGAACCATAACTCTATCTAAAGTAATTACAGAGTTATTGCCCTTTGTTACTTTTCCATTGCTTTCTTTTGTCCGGAGTATAACTTGAAGACTAATGGTTGGAATTCATTATAACTTCATACAATGGTCAAGCACATTGAGAGGAAGTGCAATGCACAAGAACCATAACTCCATCTTGACTAATTACAGAGTTACTGCCCTTTGTTACTTTTCCATTGCTTTTTTTTGTCCGGAGCATAACTTGAAGACTAATGGTTGGAATTCAATATAACTTCATACAATGGTAAAGCACATTGAGAGGAAGTGCAGTGCTCAAGAACCATAACTCCATCTTGACAAATTACAGAGTTATTGCCCTTTGTTACTTTTCCTTGTCCAGAGCATAACTTGAAAACTACTGTTTGGAATTCAATACAACTTCATACAGTTGTCAAGGACATTAAAAGGAAGTGCAGTGCATAAGAGCCATAACTCCATTTTGACAAAATACAGAGTTACTGCCCTTTGATACTTTTCCTTGTCTGGAGCATAACTTAAAATGTACTGGTTGAAATTCAAAACAACTTCATACAATGGTCAAGCACAAAAAGAGGGAGGAAGTGCAGTGCACAAGAACTATAACTCCATCTTCAGTATTTATAGAGTTATTGCCCTTTGTTCCTTTTCTTTGTATTTCTGGACTTATTACAGAGTAATTCAATAAAACTTCTTCAATGGTCAACCACATTGAAAGGAAATGCAATATACAAGAACCACAACTATCTTTAATTGCCCACAACCATAACTCTATATTTCAATTCTTTTACAAGGTATTCTGTTACTAGTAACATCCTCATTTCCGAAGCAGTCTTGTGGGGGTATTAATCACATTTAGTGATAGTTCTAGTTTACTGTCTATTCTATGTTGTTAAGTTTATTTAACAAACGATGCTAGTTACTTTATTTCTCTTCAAAGCGACTTTTTAGCATTAACAAAGCGCCCGACTTATTGAACCGAGCACTTTTGTGAGCTTTTTCAAAAAAGATATGAGCCGCGTCACGACAAAACCAACGTAATGCGTTTGCGACCAGCATGGATCCAGACCAGCCTGCGCATCCGCGCAGTCTGATCAGGATCCATGCTGTTCTCTTACCAACCCTATTACAAGTAGAGAAACTGATAGCGAACAGCATGGATCCTGATCAGACTGCGCGGATGCGCAGGCTGGTCTTGATCCATGCTGGTCGCAAACGCATTACTTTGGTTTTGTCGTGACGCGGCTCATATTATATTTATCAAGCGTTTGGTTGATTTGATGGGAGCCATCCTGCAGAGGTCGTCTGATGCAACAGTTGATGAGAAGTCGGACATCATGGTTGGACCAAGTATCGTACAAACCGTGCACACCCTGATTACCGGGGCTATCAAACAACTACAGTTTTCTGAACCATTAGATGTGTTATCCCCTGAAATCGGTACAGAAAAAATTAAAATCTTTTTTAGTCTAATTTCTGCTTTATAATATAAATAAACTTTTTTATTATTATTCATTTTTTTAGTTTTACGAAATATTTTTCAGCATGATAAAAACTTTTTTGTAGCACAATCTATAATTTTTTGTAATATTTTAAACCGTGTGTGTCTTTATATAACATTTGCAAAATTGAATATGTTTTCCCTTCTAAAAAAACATTTTGTAACATTGTAAGGACATTTTGTTGTAATAAAACCTTCATTTAAAAGCAAATTTCATCATTATAAAACATTCTTAAACATCTTGCAGCAATATAAAACCCTTTGCAGCAATTTAAAACCTTTTGCAGCATTTTAAAACTTTCATGATAAACTTTTTTTGTGTCATTAAATAACCTTTAGCAACATTATAAAACATGAACATTTTTATCATTTTTAAAGACTTTCCTTACACTTCAATGTATACTTATTAGAAACGTAATGAATAGTTTAACACTTATTTTTATTTGGAAATCATGGTGGCATAACAAAACCGACCAACTAAGAATAAATTTACATGAAGATGTCCATATGCCATATCAGCCATGGTCTTTTGTATACTCTATACTTATAAAAAAAAAGTTATTTTGGAAAGTTTATTTTGACATATCAGCGCGTAAGCGATTTCGAAATTTTCGATAATCGATTATTCGATGCGATATATCGTTATGTTTTTTTTTATTGAAGTTATGAAAGAGGAGCTGCTGACAGAGGTACCATGTGCAACATGTATAACAGGTTATGCAGTTAACAAGCAAAATAAGGAACTTGGTAATTAAAAGTTATTGTTCTAATGATGGAAGTAGTAAATCGAGCACGACAAGTTTCAATGGCATAGTTACTTCCTAATATCTTTTAATTGAGTTAGAACGCGACCCTTCGCGAACTTTCGAGAAGTAGTTGTGATACCCGTAACAGTTGCCAAGGATACGCAGCGATGTCATGTTCCAAAACGGGCTTTAATGGTCAACTTTGACGTCGTGTGTACAAAAAAATGACCGAAACTATTGGAATAAAATTAACGGAGTCTAATCTGAAATATTAACAACTCAAGACGCTACTCGAAAGTTCGCGAAGTCTCGCGTTTTACCTTTAAGTACATTTACTTTAACGTTAAATAGTGTATCTTTTATTATTTCATGATATTTAAAACTCAATTATGAAATGAAGTTGTTTTTTATACATTCATTACTTCCATTGAGTAATCAACAAAACGTTTTATGGTAAGATAAAAACGTAATTTTATGCAAAGTCCTTTCTCTTTTGTTTGTTGTGTTAGTGCAAATTGGAATCTCCAAATCTATTAAAGGGAATGGACAGTGATTTGAGAGCATGTTAGAAGGTCGCTAGGGGCGTCCGTGGCCGAGTGGTTAAGGTCGTTGACTTCAAACCACTTGCCCCTCACCGCTGTGGGTTCGAATCCCGACAGGGACTTTGGATTCTTTCATGTGAGGAAGCTATCCAGCTAGCTTATGGAACGTCGGTGGTTCTACTCAGGTGCCCTTTCGTGCCTGAAATAATGCACGGAAGGGCACCTGAGGTCTTCCTCCACCAGTAAAGCTGGAACGTCGCGATATGACCTATACTGTGTCGATGTGACGTAAAAACCCAAAACAAAAAAAGAAGGTCGCTATCCAAGACCCATAACTATAACATGGATTGTGACAGAATCTTGCCCTTTTTGAAAATTTAACATTATCCGAGCACTTGTTTTACTGTAAAGCACAAAGAATAATCGAGCACATTGTCCTACAGAGAGCTCTTGTATTTATTTTAGTTATGCCATCATCTATGAAGGTGAAAACTTTAAGCATACGTTCAATGTATCTAGAAGAATTGTTATCATATAGAGATTTGATCAACAACAAAAATAAAAGGTTTGTTGTTTATTTGTTTGTTTTCTTTCATTTCTTCGTAATTTTGACACATAATGTATATCATTTGTTATAAACAGAATTGTTACTGCTCTGTCTGTCAAATAACTTTGTGTCTTTTTTCGCTTCCAGCATCTACATTGCGAGAATATCTTTGTTTGTTCGTAAAATTCAAATGTTATGTAAATGTAGTTTTCAACTGATCATTACATTTGATATGAATGCAGTACAATTCTAGTTTCTTGTTTCGTCTTGACCTTTTTAAAAATATTCTTTTATTGTACTAGGTGGAAGAAATGCAAACTGATAATTTGACAATAGATTTTTAAAGCTTCAATGTAGGACATGCAGAGCGAAGTTCGGATTTGTAAAGTATATATGTTTTATGTTGCCTTTCAGGATTGAGTTTGAGCCAGTTTCGCCGGTTTATTCAGTGGCACACCGTGTTGATGACATCACTAGCTACAGAAACCCAACAGCTAGATTTCATATAGATCACCATGAATACGTAATTTACTTCATTTTTTTAAAAAGTTTTGTTTCAAGTACGCGTACAATTTTATTTACTATAAAGCCTTTTTACAGGATAACACTGGAGGGGGGATTTGGTACGGGACCTCAGTTGCACGTACTTACATTATCTAGGGCGCACGTGTGCACTTCAGTGGAGCCGCTAACCTTCCGTAAGATAGCTACCTCACATGAAAGAAGTTATCACTCCTTGTGGGATTCTTTCTACTGGTGAATTAAAGAAATAGTCTGACCTTCTTAATTAACTAATTAACAAATGTTCTAACATGATGGCATTTAATGAAGTACCACATCTGGTTATATATGGCAAATTAGATACACTATTGAACGTTATATTAAGGTTGTTTCCTTTCCTTTCAGTCTCAGAAAATTAGGTACAATACAACAGTGTGTTTGAAATGGGAATTTGATGTTCGGTAAGTTAGTTAAATTTATGATGAATCAATTTTGTTTTGTCACATTTTTTTTATAAATTTTAGGAATTCAGTCATAAATTTATGATGTTTATTTTTGTAAAATGTTTTATTTCTAGAAAAACATTTTTTTATTAACTATTGCGAGGTAATAGGTCAAGTAAAGCACAGAGGTAACAAGTGCAGTTCTTTATTTATCTCGTGAATCACGAGATAACATCTCGTTGGAACGAGATAATTTTTAACGTGGGAACGATATGATGACAAAACGATACAAATTTGGTATTCCTGTTATACAAATGTATTTTCTCTCTCCTTTTTTCAGGAATATTTACAGCGGACAGTGGACAGAAGAAGGTTGTGTGACGAGAGAATCTCGCGTAGATCAAACTATTTGTGAATGTCGGCTACCCGGTCATTTCATTGCTGGGATGATCCCTTCAAATATATCTGTACGTCGTTTTTAGATTTACTAGAAGAGTTTCATTAATATTATCTGTACATAATCATCTAAATAAGTGTTTAATTAATGTTTTTGTACGTCATTTTTTTAATGTATCCACCACGTGTTTCATTGACATATTTTGAACGTATTTTTAAAATAGTCACAGTGTTTTGTTAATATAATATTTGTACGTCATTTTAAAACATGTCAACCATTCTGCGTCCGCGTGCTTATGGGTTTTGTCATCTGGTATCATGTGAGAAAATGATAGGAGGTGTGACCTCTGAAAGGTTACAACGTAACTAGTAGGGTATGCTTTCATCAGCAATATCATTATCCATCCTTAAACCTTATTTAAGCGACGGTAATGTGTCATAAAATAACCTTCATGTCTTTGACAGTCTTTCGTGTAATATTCTACTATTTTCTATATTTCAGGACAAACCACAAACTAACTCGGTGAAAGATATAAGTGTACCGCTTATATTGAGTTATTCTTTTTCGCTGGTGTTAGTCTCCATTGCCTGTGTGGTTTATATAAGGACAATTGGGTAAATTAAAAGTTCTTAAATTTTGTTAGAAGTGATACGTAATGATAAAATAGTTACAATTTAATCTGAGCAGTAAAATTTATTTTTTTTTTAAAATTTACTTTGAAATATGATTTTGATTGACAAATATTTTTAACAACAGAACATGTCTACGTCATGGTGGGCTTAGGAGCTTTCTGATTTTCAATACTTATACAGACTATAGAAATAACCTTTAAAGGATCATTAACCCGTGTCAGAAGCTCTCAATGTTTGACAGTTTCAAAACAAAATACTCATTCGCCATATACTTGAGCTTCCTTTTACTTCTTTTGCCCTTGGAAATAAGTGCACATATAGTAAAGCATTTTGTTCTAAGTCAAAATGCCACTTTATTTACATTTAGCTACCTTTTTCAGAAATGTTATCACATTCAACGCTATTTTCTTCAGGTGTAAAGCATTTCACATGTTCTTAATCTTTTAATGCACTATTATTTCAAAAAAACATGCTTGTCTTTTCCAAAGAAAGAAAAAATTCTTAAGCATAATGTGCCTTTAAAATTTCTTAATATACAGGACATGTTTGCATATATATACTTATGGTAGAAACATTACTTATGGTTACTGTCATGCAGGGTACAAGTAAAATATTGTAAAAGACTGGTGCTGAAAGCACAAACACAATCAACACATTTGTTACAAATATAAAATGGTTTGATTTTTTTTTCAGCAATTTGAATGTTGAGATTCATACAGTACACTTCAGTTTTGTGTGCAGTATATTGCTGGCAACACTCGCTGCACTCATCTGTTTGGTATATACCAATGCTGACCAGGTAAACAAATGATTAATGTAATAAATGATTAATGTAATAAATGATTAATGTAATAAATGATTAATGTAATAAATGATTAATGTAAACTGCGTTATACAGATACTGATCAAGTGCCCAACCTTTATATAAACTGATATGTGCCAACGCTGACCAGGTAAACATACGATTCATGTGAATTGATATATAATTTTGCTGACCAGCTAAACAAACCATTAATGTAAATTGATATATACATAAATAATTCTGATTGGGTAAACACATAATTTATGTAAACTGATATATATTCCTATGCTAATCGGGTAAACACACAATTTATGTAAACTGATATATACCTATGCTGATCAGGTAAACACACAATTTATACAAACTGATATATACCTATGCTGATCAGGTAAACACACGATTTACGTAAAGTGATAGGTACATATGCTGATCAGGTAAACACACAATTTATGTTAACTGATATATATTTATGCTGATAACGTTAACGCAATATTTTTGTAAATTGATAGTTACCTATTTTACTAAATTGCTAATTTCCGGTTGCTAAATTGCCAATTTCCGGTTCCTTGATTCCTAACCTCATGTTGTTAACTGTTGACTTCGTGTTGTAAGGCTGCTTACTTAACGATTACAGTAGATACTGAAATGTGGCTGAAGATACAGATAAATGTACATTTGTTCATGCATATTTATTTCAGGTTTTTAGTGAAGTACTCGGAAGAGTTTTGACGTTTTCATTCTATGTAGCAATAGTAGCCTTAACACTGGAAATGTTTCACCTGTTTGTGATCACCTACAATATCAAGCTGATATTTTTGACTAAGATGAAATTTGCTATTATTTGTTGGGGTTAGTATAATAGTGTATATACTCATTTTTGTTCCTTATAAATTTTAAGTGATTAAATTATATGCTTTTAAACACTGGCCATTATAATGGTGACTGACCATTTATTGATAGGATAAAATATAAAACACCACCCTACTCTTTTAATCAAACAAAAGATATCGATGGGATATTAAAAGATATTTCCATGATGCAAGAAAACTATTGATTATTTTTGCAAAGCAAAATATAAAATTGAAAATAAAGCAAAATTTGAAGTTATTTGACTTTATCCTATTCACTCAGCATGTACACTTAGATAGGCAAAATGTCATTTTAAATAAAGACTCCTTACTACAAGTTCTTCTCTTTAATGCCTTATGAACACATTTCCAGCATGCTTAAGGTGCACCTAATTGTACCGTATCGTAACGTAACCCGCGAGGGGGTAAATATTTTTCGTTTTAATTTTTCTTCTTCTTTCTTCCTTTTTACTGGCAAAAAAACTTATTCTTAGTTGTTCCATTGTACATGTATATACTTTAAACGCCCTCTATCAACATAATATTGCTATTGAAATATCAAACCAAGCCCCAACACTCTTTAGCATTTCTGATCGATTTTTAAACGTGGACCTTAGCTCCACTTTCCTGAGAAAAAAGTGGACCTAATGCCACGACCCTCTCGTCGGCGTTTGCGTCGGCATAGGTTTACCTTTTCTTAAAGGTCTATTTTCTCAGGAAACTATAAAAGTTTTTCGCTCCAAACGTGGTATACAAGGTATACAGTGTCTATTGTCATAAAAGGAACGATAATCTTAAAATTAGTATTTGCAAAGTTATGCTTCCAGCACTGAGAAAAGTGAACGCACTGTACGCGGACAAGTCGTGTTTAAGATCATATGTGTCAATTTTCACCCATCTTTTCAGGTATTCCAGTATGTTTGATGGTGCCCACCGTGACCGTGTCGAAATACTTAGATGATAATCTTCAGAACTCGTGTCATCTTATGTAAGGTTTTCTTTGGGGTTTTGTTGTTGTTGTTTTTTATTTGAGCCGTGTCACGACAAAACCAACATAGTGGGTTTGCGACCAGCATGGATCAGGATCCATGCTGTTCGCTATCAGTTTCTCTACTTGTAAAAGGGTTTGTAAGCGAACAGCATGGATCCTGATCAGACTGCGCGGATGCGCAGGCTGGTCTGGGTCTATGCTGGTCGCAAACGCATTATGTTGGTTTTGTCGTTACGCGGCTCAATTACCTTTTTTTCCCAAAGTGAACGATTTCTGATCCCACGTGATTTCTGAATCAGTGATAAATCACCATAAGTCTCAAGGTCCGAGATCAGTTGGCATGGAGAAATAACGCCTCACCCGTGGATCGAACCACTGTCCTCTTGATTACTTATCATGCTCAGCGGTCGGACAAATATTTGTACATTATGTCTTTCAATAACAAGTTTGTTTGTTAGCGCTTCCTTTGTGTCCAGTTGTCTGTCTGTCAACCATTCCCTTGCTCGGAATTCTCCCATATATTACGCGTAACGTTATTATTATGTTTGCAAACATGTTTTTCAAAATTCAAAAATCAACATGTTCATATCCCTTGCACATGTAAGTGTTTTTGTATTTATAGTCTAAATCAAGAAATATTGTGACTGCTCTAAACCGGAAGTAGGTCAAATCTATTACACAAACTGGGGAGTTTAATGGTGAATGTTTAATTTCTTTTCAGTTGCTGGTTGAATAAAGACACGATTGAGTTTCTAGTATTCGTCTTGATTCTTGGTTTGGATTTATCTGTAAGTATTTAACTGGCTTTTAATATTTTCAGGTTTTTTTCCTCCAAAATATTCTCTCTATTAACCTAACATTGAAAAGTTTCTAAACGTTTTTTTTAACTAAAAATTGAGGTATAGCTAAAAATATGGATTTTATAATAAATTAATGTTTGGTAATGTGTCTTAATTATCAGGTTATTTTTATAAGTTTTACGTGCCGCCATTGATGTATGTATGATTTTCAAATTTTATGAGTTTATTTTTTTTTTTGCATTTGGAAGACTTTTTATTTTTATTTCATTAACAATTATTTATTTTATTTTTTATTATTTTATCTATTGTATTTAATTATTTGGAAGGGGTGGGGTGATGTATTTTGTTTTCTTTTTTAAAATAGTTTCTTAATTTTATTTCTTCTGAATTACTTAATGAATTCATGTTTGATTCTATTTTCTAGATATACATTTTATTGCTCACTCTCTGTGCGTGGTCTTTAAGAAAATGGACAGAAGAATGGCGCTATGCAGAAAGAAAGATATACGTGTAAGTTATTGAATTTGATTCAATTCATCTTTTCAGTTGCGCTTATGTTTTGATTGAATTTTATTTATTATAAACACGTTGATGTAACTCAACAGAAAAATCCTCTTACAGGAGCTTAAAGTCGCGTTTAACAAAAATGCGTTTACGGCACTGGATGAAGCACTAAATATTCAAATCCACGTTTTATACATACCCCGAAAAAATCGAGGGAGCATATAGCCGCCGGGTTGTCCGTCCGTCAGTCAGTCCGTCCGTACGTCCCGAATTCGTGTCCGGCCCATAACTTCGTTATTTGAAGTCGGATTTTACAACTATTTCACAGAATGATCACCATAATGAGACGGCGTGTCGCGCGCAACAATTGGGTCTCTACCTTGTTTTTACACTTTCAACTTTGTCTGTGACATAACTCTGACACTACCAGAGGTATATCCCTTCCTGTGTCCAAATCCTATTCGGGGAACATCACCCGGTGCAACCAGCTCTTGTTGTAGTTTATAGTTTCGTTGTTACGTTAAAAATATTGCCAACCAGCAGGACTCTGTATTGGGGTGACATCAAATCGATATCTGTTTCAATATAGGTCCGATGACATTGAAAAACGTTGCAACGCTTTACCCTCAAGTGCACAAAAGTCAATTTTCATTCTTCTACTTATAAATAAATTTTTTATAACCCTTACAGATACTTTCTATCTTATGTGATTCACTTCATATTTATAAGATTTTCAAATTTCGTGCTTTTATGCCTTAAATAATGAAAAAAAAATTTTTTTCTTTATTTTGCAGGAAATCCATTATCAAGAATGTTATTCTATTATCATTTTTGTTATTGGCGATCGGTTCTAGTGTGTCTCTGGAATCGTCGAGTTATATTCCACATGTGGCCTGCACAATTACATTCCAGTTATCTCTAGTGAGTTTTCTTAATGTCTTTGTTTGTTATATATCCAGATTTTAAGAATAAGAATTTAAAAACAGTTGAAAATGTATTTATTTTATTTCACTGACAAAATTAGTAATTGGAGTTAGATAAATAAGTAATACATTTGAATATCGCCAGGGACTATGGATTTATCATTTCAAGGAAGCTGCGCTGGTCGTTGCAATTGGTACTGTCCATCTGCCAGCTTGTGACCAAAATGATGCCTTGGGGGCACATGAAGTCTTCCTGTCTTCCATGAAAGCTGGAAAGTCACCATAATTATAATGTCGGCGTGACTTTAATCTAATACAAACAAAAAATTATCAGAATAAAGCTATGAACAAACAACAAAGTGCAAAAAAATAATAAGAATATCTGTCAAGTTATTTAAAGAAATGACACTGTTTTATATACATGTATTTTTATTTTCAGTGTCTTCTGCTGCTGGTATTCCGCTGTGTCATGAACAAACATGTACGTATTACAGGTTTTGTTATAATCGATAAATTTTTAATCGAGCAAATAAAGTAAAGAATTTTAATGCGAATCAAGTCGAAGTCAAATAAGAATTTAAATAAAAGAAATATCTATAAGTTGTTTACAGGGTTCCAGGACCTATCTATATGCATGCACCGTTTTCAATACATGAAAAATAAATCTAAAGAAAGGAAAGAAATTACATACAGTATGGCCCCAATCGCTTGATTGTTCGATGGCTAATGAAATAATTATGTCGTCTGCATTAATTTTTCTTTATTTTTAAAGTATGACTGCTTAGAAATTAAATATAGTGAAGGTGGCAACAGTTATTGACCAAACATCAAAGTTTACTTCACCATGCAGTTTAATTACTAATTTTTTCGTTGTTATCTCTTGTTGTTTTAGGTTCGTTATTTGTGTGTACGATCATGTTGTGGAGTTCAAAGACCACAGACAAAGTCTAAGGTAAAAAAAAATTGATTTGTACAAAAATAGCGCTTAAATAACCGTTAACGAACGAACTTTGCCGAATTCAATAGGAGTGGTCTACCTTAATTACAAGAATGAACCCAATTTAAGCTTTTTACCTTTAACCCAAAGCTTGCTAGCGTCTGCGATAAGTGCAGACCGAGATCAGCCGGCACGAACTTACCGTCCGGTTATTGTCGGCACTTTCGCTATTTAATTAGAACTTATTTTAAAATTTTTCGTAAAAATGATGAATGGTTTTGTCCAGATGAACAAATCCATTTATGGTATTTAGCCTGGTAAAGGAATGCCATTCTGTAGTTAACTAATTGCTGGATCTTTAACTATTTATTTATCTTTATCTTACCTTTACTGTAACTTATATCGTAAAATAGCGATATATATATTGCTGATTATACATATATATTAACTTTCATTTCAGGATCAAGGAAATTACAAGTCATTCCGTGGTATGTTACCCTTTATATTATGTCAATGTGTAATAAACAATTTATGATTATTTTGATAAGTATCCATTTAGGTCTGTACTTGAACTACTATCTTGTTTATTTTAAGTATGTTTATTACACAAAAAACAACAACATTAAATAAATGGTCATAAGCATTTTCAACAATGTTTTTACATTTCTGTGCAATTAATCGTTTTATATCTATTCTTTACTATGCAATTTAGTCACATAAAACTATTTTTTACCACGCGATCGCCACATAAAACTATTCTTTACCACGCGATCGTCACATAAAACTATTCTTTACCACGCGATAAATTGTCACATAAAACTATTCTTTACCACGCGATAAATTACACATACAATTATTCTTAACCACGCGATAAATTGTCACATATAACTTTTCTTTACCACGCGATCAATCGACACTTAAAACAATTCTCTACCACGCGATCAATTGTCACATAAAACTATTCTTTACCACGCGATAAATTTCCACGCGATCGCCACATAAAAATATTCTTTACGACACAATCAAATGTCTCATAAATCTTTTCTTTAGCACGCGATCAAATGTCACAATTTTGTTCAGGTGTTTGAGTTTACGAATAAAATAATTAAAACAAATATTAAAAACCTTGGATATGTGAAATGGATACGCTCTGCATTGAATTTAGAACAGTTTATTCAAATTTAAGGGGTTTTATTAACAAATACAAATAAAATGCCTGACAGCACGGAATAGTAGGTTGACCTGGTACTTGTATCAAAGGCAAATAATTTTCGAATCTAGTAAGTTAATTGATCAATCATTGCACACTTTTATTCCTCCAAGTGACTACATGCTAAATCATTTGATCGTCATCTTGAAAAAGATAAACTTTTGAATAAATCGTCGTTTCCGGAAATGGAGAATGTTTCATAAAACTTCTTAAAAATGTTTTGAAATAAAAAAAATAGCATGTTCGTTAGAACAGAAGATGTTTGATTTTGGTAATTTCTATATTTTATTCTGTTTATTCCGTTTTACGTACTATAATGTATCACGTGACAGTTCCTTTTTATCGGACTGATTACATGGCTGTTCCTGTCAACGTAATACATTGTTTACCTTTATTGCAGCCTTCATTGAACCTACAAGAGTAAATAATGTCGTGATTAGCCAAGAAGAAGACAACGTGTCAAAGTATTATGACGAAGTTAACAGAAAAAAATACACTAAAGAACGAAAAAGAATGCTGTCGTCACTTCTCGGCAGTGGATCTAGGGGTGATGATTTGACCTCTAACAATCGGTCAGGTGAGACTACTGCCGAAACATCCGTGAGCTGCACCTCAAGTGGTACCGGTTCCAAGGAGAGCACTACTTCACCGTCTTCACTGATGGATTTGTTTAGTCACAGTGGAACGGACTGTGGTATTTTGATTAATGAACACTCAAAGAGTACATTGAGTGTGGGAGCGAGTGGTAGTGTTAAAGATGAAGTTGATATAGTGCTACAAAATCATCTTAATTCAGATGATACTGCAGACACTCGTGGTAAATGTGAGGAGGATCATTTTGAAGTAATTACAAACGATTCTGTCGACGTCGTTACGGAAAGCAATGCAAATTCTTATCAAAAGCCATTAGTTCATTCAAAGTCGTATGATAAAAATCACCTGACAAACACTCACCATGAATACGACAAACCGGTGAAAGACAAAAATGGGTGTAAGAAACAATTACCGTCATCCAAGAAAAAGGAAGGATTAAACTTCAAATCCAACGAGCTTGCCATCGAGTGTTTTCCAGAAATTCATAAAATTCCAGATAAAGATTTAGTGTTCAATCAAGACGAACCTTAGTGGCGACATGGTCGAGTGGTTAATGCGTTAACTAGCAACCAAACGATTGCTAGCCGCGTGGGTTCCAAACCCTGTCAAGGGCAAACTGGTCGTTGTTTCCTTGAGCAAGACATTTTACACTCATTGCTTAGTAATGGTTGGTTCCATGAACGAAGTTGAGAATGTTTCAATAAGCTTATAACTTCCGACACTATGGAACTAAAATAAATCCGTATAAACTATGATGAGTCTTGCCAGTAAGGGAAAGTGTCTTTGGACCATAAATAAAATTATGTTTGCTGTACACATTCTTTATTTCTAATATTAACAATAGTGTTCATAGTTGCTTGAGGTTTCTACCTTTGAACTGAATTTTCCTTGTTGCACCTTTCCAACCAATTTTTGAAACAGTACATTTTTATTTTGATGTCAGCAATTATATCTTCATAGCATAATAAACATGAAATTCACGGACACAGTGTAGCCCAGCTCTGCAACAGTGTCTTTGATTTGCAGTTTGTGTTTTAGGATCATCAAAAAATGGCAATACATGTACATGTTATTTTGTATTCATATTAATTATTATTATTGTAAGTTTTATTATTACTACTACATTAAACTACTTCAATAAAATGCTACAATTTTTCTAAGTATTATTAGTATAGCTGAGCATAATAAATTGAATAAGAGTATTAATATATAAGCAATATTTTTTCGGATAAAAATCCATAAAATATGACAATTTAATGACTAACTTTAAAGCAGCATGCCAGATTCTGCTAATTTTCATGAAAATTTTGAAAATTTATTCAAATGCAAAATATTGTGAGGTAGACAAAGTAAATAATTTACACATTACACAGCACTTACAATCCACATAAATAAAAAAAGTCAAATAACGCCCTTACTGCGTTAGTAACGCAGTAGAAATATAGTGATAAATACTGCAAAATCAGATATTTATCGCACATAACATAAATATAATCTGCTTGAATTTTGAATATTTTACTTGTCTAAAAATCTTTAAAAAATTATCAAGTTTAATCTTAAAAATTTTTTCTCAAGTTTTATTTCTTTGAAATATTTTGGCTCATCTGAAGGCAAAGATGTTAACTTTGTATTAAAATTATTATTCCCAGTATATACAATTTGCATCCTTTGATTTTGATTATGGTGCAAAAGATATTTAAAAAAATCCATTTTATTTGTCATAAAACAGTTCTTTCTTATACTATCGTTCTCGTAATAAATAGCAGTCTTTCACGTAAAAATAACGTCCTTTTTATTGTTTTTCAAAACTTTATCTATGCAATATTAAATGATCATACTACATTTGCAATATCAAACAAAAATGGCATATATTTGGTTAAATCATCTAGATATAATGATCGTTTAACCCCTACCCTGCTGGAAAATAAAATGATCATACAAGTTTCCAACGATATAGAGCGCATCAGTGGTGTTTGACAAGGCGCTATTCTGTCGCTACCTCTTTCTTTGTATTTTGACATTGAAATCCCTTATTAAACCAAAGCTCAAATACTGCAGATTATGGGTTATTTCATAAAGGGGGATACCTATTCACTTGATTGGATTCCATCTTTGGAATGAAGCACAAACCGTCGTGTCATGTTTTGATATATTTATGCAGAAGGTTTTAGACATTTTCTGTTTATCAAAAAGGGTTATACTTCGCTGTTGTTATTGTATAGTTGTATTTTGTGTTTTCTTAATGATGTAAATACGGATTATATGCAATTTTCAGTATTTTGTTCTTTAATAAACAATCATTCCATAGAAACTACTTCCATGTTTTGTTTTCTATTAGATTACATTATAAGGATCTTTCACCGGCTCCCGGAACAGACCATAATATCTAGCTCGAGGGTAACTGTTAACGGCGGTAACCAAGGTCTGCAGAAAAAACATAACGATTCAATATCTTGGTAATATTCAAGGAGAAACGACCTCAATTTACAACAGTTTCATTTACACCAAAACTATGTGATGACGAAAAATTTGCGACAACGAAGTATTACTCCGTTGAATGCAAAACCACCATAAAAGATATGAAAAATGAAAAGTCTAGGCTCAGAATTTTAAAAGGACCCCCACTGAGGATTCTTCACATGACAAGAAATATTATTTCGAGATTAATGTTTCACTTGATGTGAGTCTTGAAAAAATTGTCAAGTTTGCTTGTGTGCAAAATATCAGACCATTCGCGCACTCCGATTTTTTAACTTTGAAAAATTAACAAAGATTGACACTTTCACTCAAATTGGCCTAAGAATGGTTCAAAAATACGATTAACAATTTATTTCTGATTATATTTCTTTATTATCATATGTATAGAGGATATTGAATGAGTGTAGGTTCAATACTTAAATTATTGCACGAGTTGAATAAAATTATATTATGCGAGCATCTGGCGAGCATTATATTATTTTATTCAACTCGTGCAATAAATTCAGTAATGAACTTACACGAATTTAATATCCTTTTTATCACATACCCAAAATAAAGACCTTTCAAGTGAAATAAGAGTCATTTTTCTTTGACGCGCCTATAGTATAACGCTTACATTTAGCTCGTCTTTACACTATGTTTGTATAACGCTAATGACGTCACGTCAAAATATATGCACGGCCGTGCAATACCATATTTACGGAGTCGCAAAATCGGCACATCTTTTTGTTTTAAGTGTCCACGCTGATCTATGTAAAAATTCAAATTGTATGATTTTAGGCTTTTAGACCCTAGTGGAGTTCCTTAAAGCGTACAGTTTTACATAATATTCTGAAAAGATGATTTGATTTGTGCTCTTACTTTTTCTTTTGAAAATAACTGTTTCAGCCAATTTAGTTTCTCTGATTCCAAATAAGGATTTATCAAAATTGTCAAGTTTGCGACCATTAAGACTGCTTAATGTACATTATAAAATACTAACAAAAGCTATTTCTAACATTCAGTTAAGCTTCAATGTCCTGCTGTATGTCCTATCCAATGTCGTGCCAGCAGAACATTCAGTTAAGCTGCAATGTCGTGCTGAATGCCCTTCCAATGTCGTGCCTGCAGAACATTTGGTTAAGATTTAATGTCTTGCTGAATGTCCTGTCCAATGTCGTGCCATCAGAACATTTGGTAAAGATTAAATGTCGTGCTTAATGTCCTGTCCAATGTCGTGCCATCAAAACATTTGGTAAAGATGAAATGTCGTGCTGAATATCATATGTCGTTCTTCGTGCTAAACTCACACGCTTTATATCACAAACGTATCTTTTATTTATTAGTCGACGGTAGAAACCGGCGACTATATTTGTGAGAAGACCTAAAAATCTGAAAATAAAAGCATATCAATTATTAAACAATTAAAGGCCACATTTATTTTTCCGTTATCTCAAAAATTCAAACATATAATAACGTTGCTCAATAAAATGTAATATACAAATCATGACATCTTAAAAAGCAACAATGCAATTTTATAAAATGAATTAATAATGTATCCCTATGGATAAGTCATTGAATTTAGGGATACTTTTACATTTTTTTAAGTGTAAAGCTTTGCTATTTTATGATAAGTAAATCATGCATGGTATTTAAAATTACACTTTTAAATTATCTGGCTGTTTATATCTTATGAGACCTATTCTATTTTGTTATTTTATTTAGTCAAAAACAATTTCTCCCTGTTCTTTTGTAAAAATCAGGTGACTACTCTTTGTATTTTATTGTTATAAATTTATTGATAGTAACAATTTGCTGATATTAACTTGCGAGGTATGGCAGCTGATAAAGTGCAAGTCGTAATAATTTTGTACATGTATATACAAGTAAAATAATAGAATATAGAATAGTATGAATAGGCTAGACTTTAGGAAATATAATAGTTTAGGAAATAATAAAACAGAATATTAACAGTATACATGTATAAAAGTACATGTATAATAGTTTACTTTAGTTTACAAATATTACCAACGACAACAATTACAAAACTTTAATTACCATGTAAAATATCTAAAATATGATCAGATGAAATGATGCTTCATAAAATAGCATTGCTTCTAATTAAATTGCACGTAAGATTCACTTTTTTCATTATTTTTCTACAAACAATGTACATGCAATTGTGTAACATTAGAACATCTGATCGACGTATGAAGTCTTATTATTCTTATTGTTCCAGCAGTCCTCGACCTTTTTTACTATTGTACCAAAACTTCTATGATTTCGAGGAAATACACGTAGGTCTGAGCCCCACATCGTCAACACAAATTTTGCCATTTTAATAGTCAATGACTGTTACATTCTTAAATCCGCTATTATTCCGTATCGCACCATTTCATCGCGCTTAAAAAAAGTATCGCACCGCTATACGTTCGACCGACTGTATCTAAAATACACACACTTTATGGTGTTTTTATGGAAGCCTTGGAGGGTCACTTTTGAGTTTCGACTTATAGATTTATTTTACTATTTTCTTATGACTTTTGATTTATGACTTTTGATTTATGACTTTTGATTTATGACTTTTGATTTATGACTTATGGATTTTGTTATTGTCCCACGTGCTTGCCTCATAATTTACGAGGAAAATATGGTAGAATATGACAACAATTCAGACGAGGTAAGTTCATTTGCTAAACTGTACTACTTTTCACTCGGAATGAACGCTGTTTGCAATGAAACTTCTAAGTCTTCTAAACTGGCTCCGAAAACTTGACAAATATGTATTGCTGATGCTCTTGCAACTGCTTTGTAGTTGAAACCATTCGACAACACGTCCTTTATTCCCACAGGTAGCTTTACTAGAATTTAAATTGAAAACATTAAAAGTATGTGTTATCTCAATTAAAATGAAATACATATATATACAAAATGAAATACAAAAAATCCCTTAATACATAACTGTATACAAAAGTTTATATACAAATAACATGTACTTTGTACTTGGTATGTGTCCTAAGTTATTGATACTGAACAAGTGAATAAAGTTTCAATACTATATCATAACTGGTTTATTGGACCATATTTCATAAACCATCTGACAAAACATTTTAGCTTTAAAAATGAGCATAAAATATGTCAAATTGTGCGCCACTCATACGAAACTTGGTCATTGATCTTAGATGTCAACACTTAATATGTGTTTTAAGTTTCAAAGGAATCGCTAAAATAGTGTTTGAGAAACCATTTTTCATGAAAATTCTAAACCATAAATTCAAAGTCAAGTCGAAAAAGAGCCATAATTTGATAACAATGCAATTCAGAGATTTCTAACTTAGAGCGTGTTATAAACAAGTGTGTGAAGTTTCAAAGCTGTATGATTATTGTTTTTTGAAATAGCATGTTTCATGAAACTTCTTAACCACAAATATCTTTGTCAAAATAAGGCCTATATAATTTGGTCTATATTCACTACGGGTGAAAACCGATTGAAACTGCAGCAAACAACAATGCGAGACTGGTTTGGATTTAAAACTGGGACCCATATAAAAAATAAAGCGTTTGATTCATACGCTGTATGTCAATTTGAGATTATATATCCCTGTTCCGGAAATCAAAAGAAAAAATAGATACCCAATGCAATGCAATGCAAGCAAAGTATTTTCTTTTCTTAATCAATTTAAAAGGCTTATATAAGAATAACATTTTGTTCTTGCATATGAGCCCTCATATTTTGTTTTTTAAATAAGTCTCCAGGAAACTTAGGTAAATGAACTTACCTCGTCTGAATTGTTGTCATATTCTACCATATTTTCCTCGTAAATTATGAGGCAAGCACGTGGGACAATAACAAAATCCATAAGTCATAAATCACTGGTGATTTGGTTTTCTTCGTTATTGTCTATGGAATTATTCAGACATTTTTGGAATGCGAGTGTTACCTTTTCACACTTGTTTCAGACGCTCGATAATTTTCAAGTTTTAACCCCACTACTAACTGTGGACGCTTTATTGGAAACACGCAATGTCACGTCCCGCCACATTTATTTTATACTGTCCATATCTCCAATATGGAATAAAACTTGTATCGATAGACAGGTCATGGTGAGACAGAAAAAAGTGTGAAAAATCATGAATTCATAATTCTGGCTCTCATAATTTTCAGTATTTGCCCATTTTAATTTTAAAACTTAAAAGAAAGGTATCGAAATCAAACTTTTCATGATCATATAGCTTTGTGAGGCTGAAAGAAACATACTTCTTGCTATTACAGCTACATTTTAGAAAGTCCCCTTTGTTGTTGTTTTTTTTCATACTTAGATTTTGTTAAACTCATAATTATCTCAAAAACTGTTGAAGGCATCAACTTGAATTTACTGGCGAGACAGAGTGCATTGTGTTGTTAACAAAACTTTTGATTATAACATTTAATCGTTCTCCTAACTTAAACATTCCCTTTTTCGACATGCTGTGGGTTGGGGGTATGCTCATTTCGAAAGACTATGACATTTCCATTACATATAAAGTCGGTTATTCTTCGGAAAACAAAACCAACCTTGTGGACGTTATTTAATATATACATTATACAATGTACAGTGTATACAGTTTCTTAAATTTAACTAGGAAATTTTTAGCTAGAGACTGTGTTTGTTTTTCTCTCTCTTTTGAACATTTTGAAATGAAGAAATAACGCTCTGACAATGATTTTAAAAATCTTGACTTCATTAATAATACAAACACTCTAGCGTTGCTAGTTCATCTAATTTATCAAAAGCTTCGTTAGAACACTCATGATTTTCTTAGTTTTTCATCAGTAATGTATCAACGATGTGTTGTTTTGTAGAAATATTGCATGTA